TTGATTACATGAGGAATATTTTGGGATGCCAGGGTGCGGGGGTGTCTGCTTCTCAAAGTGCTCCTTCTAAGGTAATCACTGTTTCTGTAAGGTTGAAACCCACATCCTACTCCCTAAAAGGCAATCTCATAATCATCTGAGGTTTAGTTTGTCTAACTTAATAATGCTTCACCTTCATTCTATCATGCCTTGGGCCCCCGGTACTTAAATAAATTTTGTTATTTTTTTCTTTACAAGGATACTTTTCAGAAAGGAGAAGCCTGCAGCGAAAGCTTGTCTGCTGGATTCTGGACACTGGCGCTTCCAACCTTGCACGCAGCCCTGAGCGGCAGGGGTTTACCGCAGCAGAGTCTGGGCAGGAGACCGCCCAGCTCCGGCTGCATGTGACAGACTGCAGAGCCCAAAGCACACAGAGCATGTGGCGGGGCGTGGGGCCAAGCTAAGGGAGTGAACTGCAAGCCCAGGGCAGACCTCTGTGGGTATTGCTAGCCTCTCTCTGGCCATTAGTCATATTCTGTGGCTTGTGACTCTCATTTTTCCAGTCCCATTTGTCTTGTTTCATGAACAGGTTAATCACTGCTCTTACTAAGAGAGAGGAAGAAAAAAAATGATTTAAATTCACTCAGAGGCTGAGAGTAATCATACTAATGCATTAGGTCAGATGTTACTCTGGGGCAAGATTGCCATTAGTCTGCAATAATTCATCTGCAAGTCCTGTAATAAGCCTTCCCGCTGTTACTTATTATTTGTTTTGAAGCACAAAATATGCAAAGTACAGTCTGAGAGATGAAAGTGGTGTGTAGAGCTTATGCTTAAAATTCTGAAATATATTTATTTCATGTCCTTACCATCTTCAAGCAATATCTTTGGAGTCCCAAGTACATATATAGCACTATTCTAGGCACTGGGGGCAAAGGGAGGTTCGGGAAAGGAGAATTGGATGTTTCCTGAGCATATACCCTGGTCAAGCCACCCTGACAATATCAGATTCCTAATGGGCCCTGGAAGTCCCAGCCTCTGTCCCCAATAGCTTATAATGGAGGCACAGAGGTGGCACACACGCAGACATGACTAGGTATAAATAAAAATCCAAGACAACGCACTAACATTAAGAAATCCTTTGAGGCTGGGTGAGAGCACGGATTGTTAAGTGTGAGCTCCTGTGGTCATGGCAGCCTTTCTTCAGGAGCAGTGCCCTGGACCGCCCGCAGTCTAGACGCTGTTATTAGTCCAGGGCGCTGCTCCTTCCGCCACGGCCGCTGGAGCTCATGCTTACAACCCAGCACGGGCGGGGAGTGCAGGCTCAGGGGCTGGGTCCACCACGTGCCAGCTGTGTGACCCCGCAGGCTGCCTGACTCCTCTGTGCTTCGGTTTCTTCATCTGTAAGATGGACATGTGTTACATCCACCTCACAGGGTGGTTGTGAAAGTTAAACGAAGGTAAAATACTTAACTGACCCCATCACCACTGCCATCTAAGCACTAGATCTTTGAAATTTGATTGCTGGATGGGAGGAGAGAAAGGGGGAGCAGCAACATCAAAGGCTTGCAGTGAAGGATGATCTAAGCCGTCTGTCACAGGACAAGAATATTTGGCCTAGGGTGGTCACAGCCTCTCCCACTCTGCACCCAGAGTATGTGGAGAGAGAGAGAGGGAGGGGGATGTGGGATTTGCTGTAGCCAATCTCTTGTATTCCCTTTGTCATTCTCCAAGAGGTCCCAGTAGGGTTTGAATTGCTTTTCGATTATTCTTATCCTCTAACTGCTCTTTATTTAAATGCACATGGGCAGAGACTGGTGAGGGGAATGGAGGAACTTCTAATTATTTTCTTCTAATCTAAAGTGATCTCAGCCACTCTGACTCTCAGGGCACTTTGTTTGAACTCCTTTTTTTTTTCAGCCTCTTGACATGTCTGTACCATATACATCTCCTTTTGCAGGTGCCATGCACCCCGGATAAGCCCCTTGAGGATAAACGCTGGGCCTCACTTGCTCCGTATCCTGACCACAGTGCCTGGTGCCGAGTAGCTTGTGATGATTATTGTTGAAATAAGAAAAAGGGTGTTTTCTAGGGTCAGTGATGAACCCATTACTTGGAAAAGAAGTTTCCAACCTTGAATAGTGAGTCTTGAGAATTTTATTTTATTTTTTTTAGAGTTGGATCTTTATTTAAAAACCTGATCTGCCAACTTAGCATTTTCCACCAACTCAGGGAGCAGAAACCTTCGAAGGCTTTTCACAATCTTTGCTTAGGTGCCGCCTTTGTGGGTGCCTTAGCAGCAGCCGTTGCAGTCTTTTTAGATGCTTGCTTAGCCTTTTTGCTTCTTTGCAGCCCTGATAGCTTGTTCTCGCTGAGCCTGTCTAACTTCAGTTTTCTGATTTCGCTTGGCCATTATATCAGCAAGAGATGCACCAGTGATAGCCCTCTGGAATTTAATTTCCTCCGACTGTCCCTTTTTGTGCTACCTTCTGTAGAGTACAGTCCAGTTTATCTGCCGAGGATTTCTCTTAGAAAGGAATGCCTACTCGCACTTTGCATTCAGAAATTGGGAAATCTTGCCATGGGTTCTGGCGTCTCGTGTGTCCGGGGTAGATCTTGTACCCGCTGAAACTGCACAGCTCGACCTTCATGGCTGCAGCTCCACGGAAAAAGGAAGGATGAGGAAGAGAAAGAGAGGATCATGGGAAGAGGGCTTGAGAATTTTATAATCTCAATCTTGAACAGGATTTCAGTTCATTTCAGGAACCAGAGGGGAATCTTCAATCTGAAAGTAAGATTTGCCTACTGGTTTTCATTTCAGATACTGGCATTAGGCAGGATTGAGAAGTCCCTACCAGCCAGCCTTGGGCCAGGGATGGCAGCCCAACTCTCGTTCCCTACTGAGATATGGTACTTAATTAAGAACACGCTGCAGCTAGGGCTGTAATGTAATTGGCTTCCCAGTTGGAGAGCTGTGACCATCGTATGAAGGCAGGAATCGATGTTTTAAAATGAATTTTACTTTCAGCTTTTGATGCTAGGAAAGCTCTTCACTGTGCAATATGACAAAAAGCGACTCATCATCCACACTGCAGTTTAGAAAATATCACAGGAAAGGAAAAAACACAGATAAATGTCATATTTCAGTTATCCTTTCCAGTGGTTTCATTGCATAAGAAATTCTTATCAGTCAAAATAGAAGTTAGAAGTAGTTTAATATTTAGAGCATTTCATTCACTCCTTTCCACTGCTGCCAGGCCAGTGGAGATTAATAAACTGGAAGCCAGTTTCCTTGGGGAAACTGACCGCTGACAGAAGGATTTCAGAGACATACGAAGGAAAAGGTAAATCCCGTAAACTAAGCTGAGTGTGATCTGTTTGTTAAATGCCCTTTTGAGGCCAGAGGCTACAGAATAGGGGTTTTCAACCCTGACTGCACATTCAAGATGTTATTTTTTTTTCCTGTTTGGTTTTATTTTTTACTTTTTATTGAGATATACATCCAGTAAAGTACACTAATCTTAAGTGTAAAGCTTGATGAATTTTTACAAGGGCACCTACATGGGTATACCACCAGCAAGATATAGAACATTCTAGCACTCCAGAAGCCCTCCTCAGAGGTGACCCCTCTTCTGACTTCAATCACCATGGACCAGTTGTGCTTGTTCTTGAACTTCATGTAAATAAGATCATACGATGGCTTTATACATCTGGGTTTTTTGCTGAATATAATGCCTATGATTCTTTGATGTCACATAGATAAGTAGTTTGTGTAGTATTCCAGTGAATGCATATACAACAGTTTACTCTACTGTTGATGGACATTTGGGTTGAAGTAGTTTGTGTAGTATTCCAGTGAATGCATATACAACAGTTTACTCTACTGTTGATGGACATTTGGGTTGTTTCCAGTTTTTTTGGCTATTATAAATAAAGCTTCTGTGAATAATTTTGTACATGTCTTTGGTGTCATATACACCCAGCTCTCTTGGGCATAAGTCTAGGAGTGGAATTGCTATGTCATAAGTAAGGCATATGATTGGTTTTAGTAAACTACTGTCAAATGTTTCCAAAATGGCTATATCAATTTATGTTCCCACCAGCAACGCATGAGAGTTCCAGTTGCTCTCATATAGCATCTCCAACAGTTGGTATTATCCAATTTTAAAAATTTTAGCCTGTAGTCATTTTATATTACAGGCTTATTTTCATATCACAATGCTATAACTTATTCCAATTGACTTTACTAGTATTGTTACTATTCATTATTATCATAAGTCTCTCTAGCTTTTTTCTACTTCAACAGAGAGAATCTCTTCTGTTAAACCACTAACCCAGACCTCTCCAAAAGTGTTTTTGCTTCCTGACACCATTAAAATGTATTCAGCTTATCTTGCTTTTTCTTGTCCCTAAGACTAGTTCCAACATCCTCCAAGGAGCTCTGGTTCCCTTCAGTGACAATCATGAAATGGATCAGACCGTGGGGTGGATGTTATACTCTGGACATGACAAGGACTATTTGGCTGCAAGAGTGACAGAACCAAAGCAATAAAGTCCCATAGAGCATGATTTTCACCAGGATGATTTTGACCCCCAGGAGGCATTTGGAAAGGTCCAGAGACATCTTTACTTGTCATGACAGGGGACAGAAGGAGTTGCATGATTGGCATCCCATGGGTAGAGGTGAAGGATGCTGCCAAGCATCCCCCAAACACAGGACAGCCCCGCCACAAAGAATTATTCAGTTCCAAATCTCAATAGTGTGAGGTTAAGAAACTCACCAGAGGGCATTAGCTCATATTGATGCTTTCAATTACCTGCTCTGGTTCCTTCTCTTTGTTTCTAAAATATCTTGCTCCATAGGTAAGTTTCCAACTCTTTCACACATACTTATATGTACATATACATGACATATATATAGCATTACCAAATTTAATATTTCGTGTTATATATTATCACACTAAATCCTGTATTTGAGTTACAATGCTGTCCAAAATTGCAGATATTATCCCCACACCCAATAAAAGAACATTTGAGGTTTATTATTGGCTGCATTCTAGGTTTTAGGGTGACTTACGTGACTTACAAACAATATTTCCATCAGGGAGAACTTTTATGGTAAAGTGTGGTGGTCATGCTGTTCTTTTCTCTTCTTTCTTCCTTTTCTACCCTTAGTTCAAGTGTCCTGGAATGAAATGCAAATAGTGCAGAGGTCTATGGTGTGTTGGTTGGTACTATCAGAGAGTAGCACCAGCCCTCAGAAAAGAAAAACAAAACCCAGCCTCCCCTCACAGGACCATGGAAATCTTCAGGGCATATGGCCCCTAGCACACCCATGTTATAGAACCCATTTTTATATTTTCCTGCTAATAATATCATTTTTTCATCCCCTCATTTTAACATTTTATTGAAATATACATACAGGAAAGTACATCTATCATAAGTGTGCAAATTGATAAATTTTATAAACTTGACCCTACCTGTTTAGTTAGCACCTATGATGGGGACACTGAACATGACTAACAACCAGAAATCCCCTCAGACTCCTTTTCAGTTAATACCCCAGCTCTCGACCAATAGCCATTCTCTTAACAGCAGATTAGTCTTTCTGCTTTTTGTAATTTCAACAAATGGAACCATATGCTTTGTATTCATTTGTGTCTGGCTTCTGCCACCCAACATTATCTTTGTGAGATTCATTTATGTTGCTGCATGTTAGCTTCTAGATCCCTCCCTCCTGTTTCTGTACAGTGTTACACCATGTGAATCTACTGTACTTTATCCATCCTACTATTGATGAACATTTGTGCAGTTTCCACATGGGGGCTATTTCAAATAGTGCTGTCATAAACATTTTCATAAATGTCTTTTGGTGAACAAATGTAACACATGTATGCATTGTTGTTGGCTCTCAGGAGTGCAATTCCTGCATTATAAATAATGCATATGTTCAATTTTAGTATAGGGTAATGCCAAACAGGTTTCCAAAGTGGTTGTGGCAATTTACATATTCATCATTATTGTATAATAAAAGAGTTCCGTTTGCTCCACATTGTCACCAACACTTGATATTTTCTGTCTTTTTCTTTTTAGCCATCCTAGTGGGTATCTAGTGGTATTGCAATGTGGTCTTAATTTACATCTTTCTTCTGACAAACACATGTAAACATCTTCTCATATATTGCTTGGCCATTTGGATATCATCTTTTGTGAATTATCAATTATCTATTATTTTTAAATTTTACAGTTTTTTCTCCCTATGTTCTTTTTCATTTCCTTTGCTGTGTAAAAATATCCTTCTTCTCTCACGCCAACACTCATGGAGTTTTTATAATGTTTAAATTTTTAGGGTGACATTTTTTCACTTTATTTTTGAGCCTGTGATAATTCATCCTCTGTTCCTTTTTTAAAAAATGGGGAATATTTTATTTTATTGTAAAGACATAAAATAAAGGACTTCATTTTTTAAAAAATTTTAAATGTAGAAGTATAATCTGCTGGGCGAATCAAGCCCTGCTCAAAAAGTTTGCTGTTAGTAGATATTCCATCTTTAGACCAAATCAATGACAAAGAAATCTGTACTATTAGGGGCAGGGGTCCTCAGAAAAATCTTTAACTTTAATTTGATTACTTTAAGGCAATTGGGAATGTGATTAAAATGCATATTAAAATACATCAGTGAAATACATATATGGTTATTTTCTCACTCAGAAAGTTTACATAGAATGAATTCTTTGTAAGCTTTTACAGTGTGGTCTGAGTCCATAAATATCAATTATAATAAACACATTTGTAAGTGAATTACCATACCTCAGTTATAATTCTACATTTACAAAATGTGGAATTCACATTTCAGTCAGAATTCTACATTCGTTGTTATATTAGCTCAATATTTTTCAAATATTTTTGCATGCAATTTTTACCTATATTTTTGAATAGTCTCAGATATTTTGTATGAGTTCCAACAGAGAAAGTGAGATTGTCATTGTTTTGATGCCATTGTTTATGTTTCTGCACCATGATAATATGCCATGTCCATACCTCTCATTTTGCATTTTGTGGGAACTGTATTGCTACCACGAATACTTTGCCAGTAGAAATCTATTTCTGATTTCACATGGACTTTCCTAGACAATCCCTCAACTGAAATAAAATCAGATTTGAATTCTGTTAGAATATTTATTTTTTACTATCTTTTAATTTTATAAAACTTTCAAAATTACTGAATACTTTTATTTAAAAATGGGAAACAAAGCTGCTACTCTCCCTGGCCCATATGATAGCCCAGCGGAAGGGAAAAAGCACTGGCTGCAGGCCAAATCATAAAAGCTTTCAATTAACTAAGGATTGCTGGCATGTTGCCATTTAAATATCTTTGTCTCTTTATCTCTGGCTGCTTTTCAGACCTATAGGTCACTAAAGCTCGCTTTTGAGACAAAGACTATTTCTCCCCCAAAAGTCAAGGGAAATATAAAAAATGAAATTAGTGATTAAGGATATAAGTTAATTAATACAATCATTTTGGCTTAATTATTTAAAGTCCAGTTTTTTTTTTTTTTGGTCTCCAGCAAAACTGAAAATACATTCTCTTCCAGCTATCAGAATTATACTGAGATTCATAATTTTTCATTGATAAATATATAGCTCTCACATACACAAAGGGAAGAAATAGAAAAATTCTTAAATTTAATCCACACGAAAAATTATTATGTGCGCTGACACATACACACCAACTTTCACATACACACACCCCTGCACTTTAAAAAAAGACAGCTCCTTTAATATTATATGATTTTTGTTTCCACCTAAGCAATTTAATAATTCTTTTAGAGACCCTTACTCAATGAATCTTTCTCAGCAATGTAATCTTTGATCACCATTTTTTTTTACCATTTTATCCATTTTTAAATGTACAATTCGGTGACATTACACACATTCGTATTGTTGTACAACCATCACCATCACCCATGTCCAGAACTTTTTCATCTTTCTAAATTGAAACTCTGTACCCATTAAACACTAACTTTTCATTACCCCCTCCCACCCATCCCTGACAACCAGCATTCTAGTTTCTGACTCCACGAATTTGACTAATCTAGATACTACATGTATGTGGAATAATACAGTATTTGTCCCTTAGTGTCTGGCTTAATTCACTCAGCATAACGTCTACAAGTCTCATCTATCTTGCAGTATGTGTCAGAATTTCCTTTCCTTTTAAGGTTGAATAATATTTCATTGTATGTATATACCGTATTATGTTTATCTATTCATCTGTCATTAGACACTTGGGTTGCTTCCACATTTTGGCTACTGTGAATAATGCTGCTATGAACATGGGTGTACACATATCTGTTTGAAGCTCTGTTTTTACTTCTTTTGGGTATATGCCCAGAAATGGAATAGCTGGGTCAGACAGTAATTCTATGGCTAATTTTTTGAGGAACTGCCATACTGTTTTCCGCAGCAACTGCAGCATTTAAGGTTCCCACCAGCAATGTATAGGTGAACACTATATTTTAAACCCATCAATTCTGAATAGCTTTTATACAAATCATATAACCTCAAGACCTGCATGTATCTATTTATCTATCGATTGATCAATCCATCTATCCATCTGTTTATAGAGACACTTAAAATGAAAACATTAATTTGCAACCGGTGAAAACATGCTGAATCAGGTGGTAGATTTGACTGACATGACTGAGTGAGTGGCCCCTCTCTTGCTGTGAGGCTCTTATTCTCTGAGTATCTGAGGAGGTGGGGTGGGAGCAGAACTCCCCCAACACAGCTCTGTAGCCAGAGGGGCACATAGACACTGCTCAGCAAATCTTGGCGACACATCCAATTGCCCAGAGCAACAGAGACCTGTTCTCTTCTAGAGACATGTTCTCTTCTCTTCTTTTCTGCTGAGTCTGTACCTGTATTCTAGAGGTAGTCCCCAGACAGAACTACCCAGACCTTTATTTATAATTCACCCTGACTTTTACAGTCTAGTTGGATTCTCCTGTATCTTCTCTGCTCCCGTCTTCTCATTAATTTAGTCTTTACCCTTTTAGCATTTTTGCTAATACTCATCTAAGACTCTGTCCCCTGGCTTTCCTTGTACCAAGACCTTTTCACACCCTGGGAAGTAAGTTGCTTTCCAAGGAACTCCAGGGAACATTTTGATTAGGATTTGTTAGTTATTATTGTTGTGGCCATTTGAAAGGCAAGAGGCTTTTTTATACTTCAAACATCTGGGCTGACAGACTTGCTCATTTTGGTCTGTAGAACTGACAATTTTATCTCTTGGGGTGGGAGGAGGAGCTGGAGGAGGGGGTCGTGCAGGGCTCGTTCTCATTGGAGGCACATGTGTTGATTTGGACCTGAGCCAGAGGACTCTGCTGCAGATCCTTCTCTAACTTTCCCTAGAACTCTGATGGATTCCTTCTCTGAATACAGCTGTGGCAAGGACTGGGACTTGGAGTCACAATTTATGTGATTTTCTTCTGCCCTCACTGACAGCTTCTCCTCAGTCTTCTGTGCTTGGGGGCCCTGGGACTCTGTTCTTAAACCTCTTCTCTGCTCTGTCTGTACTCATCCCCTAGGCCAGCAGTCCCCAACCTTTTTGGCACCAGGGGCCAGTTTCCCAGAAGACAGTTTTTCCATGGGTGGGGAGGCAGAGCTCAGGCGTGATGCCAGTGATGGGGAGCGGCTGTAAATGGAGATGAAGACCACTCACCTGCTGTGTGCTGCCCCCCCCAGTCCACTTTCCTAAGTTTCATGGAAGATAATTTTTCCACTGACAGGAAGGCAGGCAGATGGGGAGCTCTGTGATGGTCCAGAACATGGAGGTTGGGGACTGCAGCCGTAGGTGACTTCTACCAAATGTATGTCTCCTGTCTTGTCTTTTTCCTGAAACTCTAAATTTGTTTATCCAACTGCCTCCACAATCTTTCACATTAGATGTCCAAGAAGAATGTTAGGTTGAACATGTCTAAAATCAAACTCTTTATTTTTTCCACCCCAGTAAGTTTTCACTACCTTCCTCCCTTCTTAGCACAGCAAATGGCTCCACCCTGCCATAGCTCTGGCCAAAACTCTTGTCGTCTTTGACTTGTCTTTCTCCACTGTTGTATTTTATTCAATCTGCAAATTCTGTCCATTTTACCTTGGAAGTATACCCTAGGGCCTAGCATTTCTCACCTCCTTTCCTGCTGGCAGCCTCCTAGTCACCGTCAGGGAGGTGACCCTTCTTCCTGTCTTCCCTCACTGGCCTCCCGACTGGCTGTGCCGCCTCCTCACTTGGCCTCAGAGAGTTCCCAATATTGATCTTTTGAGAATGTTAGTCCAATCAAATCACCCCTGTTCTCCTACCTCTAAGGGCTTCTCATGTCATTCCCAGAAGGGAACCTGAAGTCTTCGTCATGACCTGGGGACACGTAAGGCCCTATTCATCTCTCTGTAGGCCACTTGTATCTCACCCCTTCCGGTCCTTCGTCCCCATCCCTCTTCTGTGTCTGCACTGGACATACCCAGCATTCCCACCCCAAATTCTTGAAGTTTGCTTCCCCTTAATTCTGGAACACTCTTCCCGCAGTTTTCACGTGGCTCATTCCCTCACTTTATCTAGTTCTCTGCTCAGATGCCACCTTCTCTGAGCACCTTCTCTCACTACCTGATTTAAAGGTAGCTTGTGCCATATGAAATTGCAATTTTTGTAGGTAAAAAAAAAAGGGAGAATATTGTCAATTTCAATTGTTTCAACATGCCACGTAGGACGTTGTGGTACTTAACACTGCCTGTCCTACTTCATGTATTTATCGGTTTATTGTTTTTTTATTGGTTTATAAACCAATGTCTCCTCCACTGGGGTGTGAGCACCTTGGGGGCAGCAAATTGGGTTGTTCACTTCCAGAGAGTACTTGGAACAAAGAGCCATTTGCAGATCATCTGCTGTATACTGCTTCCTTCTTTTTTTGCCCAGCCCTTTGATAAATGAAGCTCATTAAACTGCTCTCTGTCAGTCACACTGGTATTTTCAAAGCCAATTCCTTCCACTTCCTATTAAGATCCATACTCTTTTTATGATTATTATTATTATTTATTTTGGACAATGCAATGAGTGCATGGATCCATACTCTTGTAGCCTCAGAATTTCACTTTTGAGATCCTCTCATCCTTCTTACATTGTCTGCTCTTTCAGATTGCTCAGCTGTGGGATTAGCCTGCACTTTCCTCTGCACTTCTGACAGTTGTGTGCCCATTTAGGGCACACATCACAGCCCTTCCAGAATGGCTTTCTGGGCGTTTCATCCCCCATGTGAAAGCCACTCTCTGACTTCCTGGCTCCTGGGGCTCCAGCACTCCCCTTTCAATAACCAGTTCTTCCTGGTAGATCAGAACTAAATCTAGGAAAGAAGTTCCTTTTCTTTCTTCCTCTTCCTTCTGCAAAATGAAATTATCAGCAAGATAAGGTCAAAAACATATATGTTCTGCTTTTAAAGAAATGAGATTTTCAGCAGAAATGCAGAGGGCTAAAATGTTCCCATCATTTCTATGACTTGCAAATGTGTCCGTTCTGTGATCTTGTTAGGAATACATTAATCAGAGCTCCACCATACTCAGCTGAGGCTATTTTATGCACTTCTGTCCTGCCAGGTGCTCTCCAAACCATGCCACAGTGGATGGAATCTCCAGTCATCCATATGACAATGTTCAGGACTTTCCCCAGGAATGCACCCAAAGCTTGTAACTTAAGTTCCCAATTAGACTTGATTTAAAGTGTCATTTTAGTGCCAGGCCGCAAATGCAGGTTAGGGGTTGGGGGAAGAGCACCGAGTAGAAATTGAGGGCCTGGATTTGGAATCAGACATACTTGTTTTTGAATCTTACTGCTCCTTTGTATATTATTCAGAAAGATAGACACCAAATCAGTAATTTCACAGAAAAAAAACTTCAGTGGAGGGTATTGGGACACCACAGGGACAGGGACTCAGGGAAGCAGTTACTGCCCTTAAGGTTAGAGGAACAAAGAGAGGGAGATGAGGTGATTAGAACCTAGAAGCCTGACGTATAAACCCATCGGAAGTGGGGCCCAGACCTCTGCAGGGAGTGCCAGTCAGCTGGTGCTGGTCTCTCTGAGGCGCTGGTTCGGAGAGGGTAGAAAGTTACTGCTGCTGAGATGAAAAACCATCATTGGGATGATGGCAACAGAAACAGGAAGCAAACTGGAAGCAGCAAGTTAGCCCTTTCCCCATCATCCAGCCTCAAAACATCCTTCTGGCACCTTCTAGCATGCCAACAGACAGCTAGCTGACCAAGCAGAGACGTGGTTGGCAGAGTCCTAGCCTTTGCATCACCAAGCAGAGGATAAAAGGGTTTCTGTTTTGTTTTGTTTTGTTTGCAGTGAGAAAACAGCTCTTTATGAGACAGGGTAGTTTTAAAACAGAAAGAAAATTGCTTAATCATCAGCACAATGACCTTAGGTAGATTACTTAACCTCCCTAAGCCTCAACTCCTATACCTGTGTCATGGGGAGAAATGCCTCCTCTCCAGGTTATTCTAAAGATTAAGTGAGATCATGAATGCAGATTGCTCGATAAATACCTTGACAGTAGCTGCAGATCTATGTCCCTGACCCCTCATCTTCAGCCTCAATCCAGCAGCCAGAGGGTGACAAGGAAAGGGAGAAATATGAGGAGAGAAGAAAGAAAATGGGAGCTAGAAGAAGGGGGAGAAGAGAATGGAAGCGGTGCAAGAGGTACTCAGACCAGCATGGAAGAGAAGGGCGAGAGGCCTGTGGACTGGTCTCTTAACTGGGAGGGCTTTTCTCACTTTGAACAAATTATGTGCTCCAGGTGTTTTTAATGACTCCTGGGGATTGTTACGATTTTTGCAAAATCAAGAGAACTAATAAGAATAGTCAAAGGTATGTGATCATTTTCTAAAAAGTGAAGGCTCAGTGGTTTGGCAAAAGATGACAGCAGGAGATCTTAAAGAGTTAGACCACAAATTAATCCTGCCTCCCTCTAACTGTTTTGTTTTCCTATGTCTTTGGCTGACGCTAGCAGCTGTTCAACTGTGTAATAAAGCCATTTCTATGACAGCCAAGCAGCTGGGTCAGTACTATATGTACTAGTGTCATTGGCTACCAAGTTAAATCTTAATTTAATAAATATTCTGAACAGTTATCAATCTTATGCTGCCCCATCTTCAAGGAAGCCAGCAATGGGAAGTGATACTGGTATTCAGACTCCTGCTTCCATCAACAGATTCAAGGAGGGATAAAATCGAGAGCTAGCCTGGTGCCTTTTTTAGACTAGCTATAAATGAGAAAAATAGACAAGACTAAGTCCAGTCTAAGAAATTGAAATGCTACTGTTCACTATGGACAGGAAGAATCATCACACCTCCATTCTGAAGGGTGTCTCTTTACCTTTAGGCCATATTTCCTTTGTGGATATTGTACATATAAATTCCCTGTAATGCAACAGGGTCACTTTCTGGAAGTGTAAATTGAAATGTATTGGCTGTATAAACTTATCAAATTAGTTTTTCTGGTGGAAGAAATTTTAATTAAAGGGCTGCTTTGAAATAAAGAAGAGTAATTAAAGCATTTTTCATTTTATTTGCCTTCATACCAGCCACATTCATTTTAATAATCTAATTTCTATTTTTCTTATTTAGAAGATGACTTTGATTAGCTTTCCTAACAGATTTAGTTTCAAAAAGTTAATGAAGTCCAGCTGAGTGTATATGGTAGATCATCAGGGTTTCTGCTGAGACCCATCAATCCCACTGTCCTGGATTCCACTTTCTGTTTGGGGTCAAGAAGGGATTTATCAGAAGAACTAGTCCTGCTTTGCATACCGAATGGCTATGTGTTTTGTACTAGGGAGTCAGTTAAGAACTATCAGAATCACAGAGGAAATAGCATCCTGTCCATCTTCTCCAAATGAGTAAATTTGTCATGAAATCAGGTTTTTTGTGACTTTTCATAATAAAGAATTAAACATAAATAATAGAATTAATCTATTAGAGTCAAAACTTGGGAATTTAAATTTTGGTGGGTAGTGACCCAGAATTTTTTAACCATTTAAAAAATAAAAAATGTTTTAAGCATTTATTGAAGAAAGTAACAGGAGTAAACTTGGTTTTTTATAAGATTTCTTTTGAAAGGTCAGACTATACTCATCCTTGCTCATGTCAGGCTTCTTATCTAAAGAACATGAGATTTGGGGCCAAAGGCCTTGGTTTGTTAGTCTATATCCAGCTACAATGGAGTAACAGGCACTAGATTTTAAATTCCCACCTGAAACAACCAAAAAAAAACTAAAAAAGAAAGAAAGAGAGAAGAATGGCTTTCAAAATATAGACATTAGGAAACAAAGTTCTGTGACTCTTAAGAGATGGTAAAAAAATGAAGTGAGCCTTACAATCTATATAGAGTTAATGTGATCCTAAATAAAATGTCAGAAGTTTTTTTTGTGTGTGTGGAAAATGTCAAGATGATTCTAAAATTCATATGAACATGCAAAGGACTAAGAACAGTGAAAGCAACAAAGTTGGAAGGCTTACCAACATGATTTCAAGACTTATTATAAAGCTATAGTAATCAGACAATATGGTATTGGCATAAAGATAAATAGATCAATGGAACAAAATAGAGATTATAAAAATAGAGTTACATATATTGGGTCAACTGATATTCAATGAAGTTGCAAAGGAAATTCAGTGGATAGTCTTTTCAATACATGGTGCTGGAAAAATTGGACATCCATTTTCAAAAAAAGGTAAATAAATAAAAAATAACTTTAATATACATCTCATATCACCATTAAAAAATCAACCAAAATGATCATATACCTAAAAGTAAAACTAAAACTACAAAATCTCTAAAAGAATACATAGATAAAAATCTTTGTGATGTTGGATTAAGCAAAGATGTTTTAGATTTGACACTAAAAACATGATCAATAAAAGAAAACTTTTAATTTGAATTTGAGTAAATCCACTCTTCCAAAGACACTATTAAGAGAATGAAAAGGCAATCTATAGAATGAGAAGAAATATTTAAAAAATCACATATCTGATAAAATATTTACATCCAAAATATATAAGAAACTTACAAAACTCAATAAAAACCAAACAAACAACCCAGTTTTTAAAATGGGCAAAAGGTTTGAACAGATATTTCACTAAAGAAGATATGTGAATGGCTAATAAGCATGTGAAAAGATACTCAACATCATTAGTCATTAAGGAAATGAAAATTAAAACTACAATGAAATATTATTACATACCTATTAGAATGTCTAAAATGGAAAAGACTGACCATACCAAGTGTTGTCAAGGACATGAAGAAACTGGAACTCTCATAATATGCAAAATGGTACAACCACTTTGGAAAACAGTTTAGCTGTTTGTTAAAAATTTAAACATATTTACCACGTAACCTAGACATTCCATTTCCAGGTTTTTACCCAAAAGAAATGAAAACTTATGTCCATTACAAAGACTTATACATCAATGTTCATAGAAGCTTTATTCATAATAGCCCCCAAATAGAAATAATCCAAATGTCCATGAAGAGAATGAATACATTATGATTTATCCATATAAAGAAATATTCCCCCAAAATGAAAGAGAATGAACTACTGATACACACAACATGAACCAATCTCAACTTAATTATGCTGAATGAATAAAACCAGGCAAAAACGGTGTATGCTATGTTTCCATTTATATAGAATGAAAACTATAGTGATAGCAAGCAGACCAATGGTTGCCCAGGACGGCTGGATAGGGGTGGGCTGTTGTGGGGAGGATTACAAAGGAGCATCAGGAAATTAGTGGGATAATGGATATGTTCATTATCTTCACTGTGGTTGTGGTTTCACAGGTTTATACTCTCAAAACTTATCACATTTTTACTTTAAATATGGGCAGTCTATTGTATGTCAATTATACTTTCAATAAAGTCATTTAAGAACGAGGCTGTACTCAAGTCATAGTTGTGTGATCTCAAACAAGTTTCTTGACCTCTCTGTGCCTGAGTTCCCTTTAATGAGGATAATAATAATAATGCATACATACATACATACCTCACAAGGTTGTCATATCAGGTGAGATTTTGTGGCAACAGCCCTTAAAAAAGTTCTCAATCAATGGCATGTAGAGCATCTTGTCTTCTCCGTAAAGGACTTAATTTTCCTGTTAATCCTTAAGCAGAATGGCAGTGTTCTCTCCCTAGGTTGTATCTTTTATCTTTAGAAATCAAAAGGACACGAATTTTGAAGCTGACGTAGTTAGATCTCTTAAAACTTTTATAACAAAATTAGATGGGGAAAAATGCGAACACATAGGGGATTAAAAAGCAACAGTATAAGTATCTGTAGCTTTGTTGAGCACTTGTGAAAACTGGGCTTGCCCTACCACCAAGGGACTCAATACATTCTGGCAATATGTATGACCCCCCTCCCCCTCCCACATAGTCATATGATAAAAAAAATTATAAAAGAAAAATAAATTTAAAAATATAAAGACCATATGCTTTAGAGTCAGACCACAGGTCAGATCCTGACTCATTATTCACTGGCTCTGTCTCACCTTGGACAGCTCCTCAATCTTGCTGAGCCTCAGTTTCCTCCCTTGTAGAACACTACCCCATAGGAAGAAACAAAGAAAGTACCTTGGACAGCACCTGGCATGGGCTCAGCAAAACAGTTTCCCTAAGGTAACCGCTAGACTGAGTCTCATTTGAATAATTCAAACCTCCTGGCCCCAGGTCCATGGTCGCTTTGCTGTCCTCTGTTGTTAGTTCACCCAGGTAGTCTGTGGCAGAGAGGCAATTAGAAACCAGGGGTTTTAGCTCTCTGTTTGGTGTTCTTGCCACTGCACAAGGTAATTTTCTTTTAAACTGCTACTAATCAGAATATATTTATTAATTAGGGGGAAAATGGCATCTGGAGACAAAATCGTACTGGTTGAGAGACCAGGAAAAATCCCTTTGGGCCTTACTGCAATGCTACTAATTACTTACCAGTTCAGTCCCCAGTGTGACACCTGCCTCTCCACAGGTGCCTTCTCTGATTGCTAGCGCCCCTTTCCAGGGCTGTACACCAGGGAACCCTGGCAGCAGACTGGGCAGGCAGCTGGGACTACACAATCGTTGTTATAGCCACCCTCAACCACAAGATGGCACACGACTCTCTTCTTTCAGAGGAGAAAAGCTCATGAAGCATCTTTCTGAAACCTAGCATGTTTCAAATCAGATGATAATGTATTTCTTTAAAAAATTTTCCTCCCTCACTATTAAGATAGTAAGGACAAATTAAAGAGCACACAAGGAAACTCTGCTAAGGGACAAAGATAATGGAGGAAGGGGAGATGGAAGTAGGGGGACCTCATAGAGTTGACTGGAAGCTGTTGGACTTGCCTTCTTGGTGTTTGCAGTCTCACTGCCTTCCTCTCTGCCCACGTTCTTGTCAGAGCTCAGAACCCCCAAATGGATTAGATAAGGTCTCTGCCCTTGATTAAAGGTTTGTCTGAGCCTTGACTAGACTTTAAAATTCTGAATACCTCTTCTAGACCCACAAATATGTGAGCATATTTCCTATCTGTTTTTCCATAACATCAGGGGCATGTTTTTTACATTCCCCTCGTGCTCTGTGCTGATGCATGTCTACTTTGGTCATCATGTATTGTTGTGGTTATGCCAGTACTGAGAGGCGCAGTGGATATTAATGTCCATCCCACCTCAGACACACCAGGCCTGGGTTGAAGTAGTCCTGGCCACCCGCAGAGCCCTGGCTCCATGCAGTACTCTGCTGACAGGGCATTCGTCCTCTTTCCAAGCCCTTCCCCCTCACTTAGCATCTAAACATCTTTTGGAGGCAGATTATGGAGCCTAAAGCATTTGTAATACCTCCTCAGTAGCTCATAAATCTCATTTTGCAAGCAGGAAAATATTTTGATTGCCTGAAGTAATTAGAAGCCCTGCACTTAAATCGCTATCATCATCTTTCCATTAAATCTTGAGGAATGTGGTACAGGCACATAGATAAATAAGTGGAATATAAACTTGAGGGTGTGGGGAGGGTGGGTTAGAGGTGATTCATAGTGAATGAACGGGCAGGGGTTAGCTGGGCTTAGCTGGGTAGGGGAGTGGGCTGGGGCAAGGAAAGATACTCTCCTCAGAGGCAGCGCCTGAGCGGTGGAGGTGGGGTGCCCCAAGATGCCAGCAAGCAGCCATGGGCGGCCCTGTTCTGCTAAACAGGGAAATGCAGAGAGTCAAAGATGGAGAAGCTCTTGCCATGGGCAGCCACTAGATCACAGGGCGCCTTGTATGTCCTACAAAAGGGCTGGGCTCTTGCTCTCGGGGATGGTCAGCTGCTGAAGTGTTGGATGAAGACAGTTCATATTTTAAATAGATTGCTGTACCCTTAAGGTGGAGGAGAGATTTAGGAAGGATATTCCTGACATAAGGAAACCAGTTAGGACACTATTGCTGTAATTCAGGAGAGAGATGATAGTGGCCATGGCCAGGATACTGGAAAATGACACAAGGAACAGCATTTAGAGGATCCACTCAGCAGGGCCCCACCAACTGGTTGACTGTAAGGTAGCAGGGTGGCTTCTAAGTTTCTAGTGTAAAGGACTAAGAAGATGGTGGCATTGTCAGCACTCTCAGAGGAAGAGCTGGTTTCAAATGGAATTCTGGTGATAAGACTGGCTTTGTCCATGTTCAGTCTGAAGTGCTTGGAGGAAATCCAGGTGGGGGTGACCAGCAAGCAGGTAGATGTAGACACAGCTGAAGCTTGAGGGAGGGCTTGGGCTGGGGAAATCAACTTGGGAGACACCAATAGGTGGGTACAGTTAGAACCAGGAGAGTGGATGAAATTGTCCTGGAAGCAAGTGAAGAGGAAAAAGGCAAGGAGTTGAGAGAACTCGGGAACGTCAACATTTAAGGGTAAGTAGCAGAGAGAAGTGTTGGGAAGAGAAGCCCATGCAGGAGAGAGAGAGAGGAATGGTGGGAGAGGTATAAAGAGAAGGAGAACAGCGTGATGCCACTGACGCCAGGTGACTAGACACCCTCAAGGAGGAAGGAGCCCACGGTCTCCAGTATAGCATAGGGCCCAGCAAGATGAGGGCTGAAACCTGCATGGTATTTGGCAATGAGAAGGCTGCAGAAGTCAGAGGAAGGTGGATGGAAGAGTGAATGGAAGGTGAGAAAGTGGAGGTGGTGAGTGCCAAGTCGTTCCTGGATGGTGCTGTGTGGGAAGGGGAGGAGAGAGGCGAGTGGCGGGGTGGGGCTGGTGGGGACCAGGCAAAGGAAGCTTTTGCTTTGTTGTGTTTTGTCCATGGGCTTGTTTAGAACAGAATAGCCTTTGACATGTTTAGGGATGGAGGGGAAGAATGAGTAGAGTGGAGGCGCAGGAGAAAGGAGATGAGGGGACGTCACCCTAAGATGGCGGGAGGAGACGTGGCGGAGGCGAATGAGCTTCGGCAGGAGGGGGTGTGGCTCATCTTCTGGGCTGGAGGGGAGGCCTTCAGGATGGCTGGGTGGGTAGAGAGGACTTTGTTGGATGAGAGGGCAAGAAGCAGACTCTCAGCAAGAGAGCAGCAGAAACCAGATGAGCAGCAGAAGAGCTTGGAAGACCTCGTTGCCTGGCAGACACCACCATGGGCTCTGGATCGCAGTGCCGGTTCCACCACTCACCAGCTGGCTGGCTTTGGGCAAACCATCGGATCTTTCTGACGACTCAGGTTCCTCATTTATAAAATGGGGATAATAAGAGGACCTCCCTCATGGGATTACCGTGAGAACTGAATGAGATTCTATGCACCCACTGAAGGAGCTTGACAATGATGATGACCATATGACAAATCAAAGAGTAAACATGCCAGATGAATTCATGCCCCAAATTGTTTGATAATTGTTGGTTTACATGTCTTTCCACTGCCTCCCACATGGCTGAGAATAACTCTAGGGTAGAGGTCATACATTTTACTTTTCTGTCCTTCTAGAATGCAATTCCATGCTCCACCTGCTTCATAGAGGGCCATCACTACAGTTTGTTAAATGACCGACTGAATGAGTTGCACACAGTTGCCCTGACAACAGCTCCAGCTCCCAGCTCCGGGACTGGGCTCTTCCCATCCCACTGTGTTACCTACCTTCTCCGTGTTTACCATCATTGTTAGGCTAATTCTTCTTTGCAAACAATCACTAGACAAAAGAATAATAGCTCCTTGAGTTGGGCACTGTATTTCAGTTCTGGAAATACAAAAGCACATTATTATTCATCACTGAAGGCAAGTGATCTATTTCTGCTGGTTATAAATTCCTAAGAATTAAAAAGGAAAAGGAGAGGACGATACATTGCTGGGGAGACTTCTGTAAGTGTTTCTAAGGCCACTCTCATCCTGTTAGTGATCACGCTTTAGCAAGGTGAACAGGTTAATGCTGGATGCTGGGTGAGCCACCCTGGGCCCGGGGTGGGAGACAGAGCAGGGGCTGCAGTCGCAGTGGAGCCAGCGTGCCCGGTCCCCAGTGGTTTCAGGTGATCCCACCAGGTGAGAGGCAGAGAGGGATCCAGGCTATGAGAAGAATGGCAGTGACATGAATAATGGAAGCCACAGACAAGCACACCTTTGACAGTGTCTGGCTGCCAGTTTTTCAACCTTGACCACACCTCCCCCCAAAAAAAACATATTTTAAAAAATTAATGTATTGTGAAAAAGACCCAACATCTTGTCCTTCTCTCTCTCCTCTCCTCTCCTCTCCTCTCCTCTCCTCTCCTCTCCTCTCCTCTCCTCTCCTCTCCTCTCCTCTCTTCTTTTCTTCTCTCTCTCTCCTGCTCCCTCAGATGAAATGCAGAAATGCAACTAAAATGTCACCTACAAATGTTCAGGTGGGAGGAAGCCGACAAGATGAGTCTAGCAGAGGCAAAACAAGGAATCTGGGAAAGGCATAAACTGGCTTTCAAATAGCCCCAGTCTTGGCAACAGAGCCACTGCGAGTAGAGGTGGAGTTTAAAGGATTTCATTTCCTCCCCCCAAAATCACAAAACGCTCAGCACTCCGGGTCCTTCTTACCAGCCCACTCCCTTCTGACCACCAGAGGTCAGGCTGCCGTTAGGAACAGGCTGGAGATCCCCAAAGTACAGCCCTGTCCTGTCTCCTCCCAGGCCCTGCAGGGCATGCCTGGGAGCCCAACCAGCGATGGCCTGCGGGATTCCTTTCTCATCCAAAACAGCCATGGGCAGGCACACCAGAAGCTGCCTGGGGTCATTCCCCCATTGTCATGTGTCATGTTTGTGAACCACTGCCCTAAGAATCACGTGGGGAGGAGCTTATAGAAAAGCACATTCCTGTGTCCTGCTTTTGAAGGCTGATTCTAGGGGTTGGGGTTGGGCCCAAGCATCTGTGTTTTATGCAAACTCTTGCAGTGGTTCTGATGCAGGAGGTGCAAGACCACACTTTGAACAGATAATGCTATTAGCAGTTGCTCAAACCCAGGGCCATCCTGAAGCAAAGCCTTTGGTTTTGCGCTTTGGCCAGGACTCAAGCAGGCAGATGGGATTAGGCCCACATGCCCTGCCACCTCAGGGCTGTAGGCCATCGAATGTGTGGTGGCTGGCACACCTGAAGTGACATGGCTACTCCTGGCCACAGTAATAAACACCCAGGCTGGGATGAAGGAGAATTCTTCTTGCTCTGTGCAGGATGAAGACCACTACCGGCTGGCCCTGCCCTCTCTGGATGCCTTCATACTCCACGTTTCTTCCAATCATTTCTGGGCACTGGTTTCCTTATTTTATCCCCTTTGATGTGCCTCTATCCTCCTCATTGCTCAGAAAAACATCCTGGATTTAGAAGCAGCTAAGCTCTCTGCTCAAGATAATCCTTGTTTGTTGTCCTTCATTGGTGCTAAGACACAGTCTCCTACATAAGTCCCCCTGATGTACCAGCAGCTTTCGGGGAGGAGTGGGAACGAAACACGGAAACTCAGGAGACATTAAATACGCACAACCATTATAAGATGCAGCCCCCTTGCAGAATCAATAAAACGTGCCTTTTGGAATTGGGAAAGGTTTTCTCTCTTCTTCTACTTGAATGTTACTCTATTCACTCAACCCAAATTCACTGAGTGCCTGCTGTGCCAGGCACCTGCTGCGCGTGCTGGGGGTGGCGCCACGAAGCACAAGGGACAAGGTGCTCACCTTCACAGCGCAGCGCCTACAGCCCGGCATAGGAGGCAGGCAATCAAAGAATCATGAAAGAATGAATTAGCAAATCAGAGAGCTGGAGATTGTGACTGGGGCTATTAACAAATAAATAGGGTTATGAAGTAGAGACACAATAGAGAGGCCAGTTTCAGAATTGGTTGCTCAAGGAAGAACTTTCTGAGGAGGGGTCACAGAGCTGAGCACAGAATAAAGGGCAGGACCAGGGGAAGACCGCCCTGGGTGGGGAGGACTTATCTGTGGTTCTTGCAGGTGGCCCTGGCACCTCGGCACGTGGCTGCAGAACTTTCGCTCACTGCTTAACTCAGCATGTGCTGGGCATCTTCCCACGCCGGGGGTTGTGTTAGTTCCTCAGGATGAAGCGGTAAACGGGGGCAAGGTTCCTGCCCTCAGGAAGCTTATAACCTGGTGCAATTTTAAACACTAAAGCTGTGCTGACCCTCCATTTCTAAGTTTACCATGTTTCTTCATCATGGAAAATCTATTTTGGATTTTGAATGAGGGTGGCCCGGATGAGGAGGGCTTTGTGACCACAAACACCAAACTCAAGGGGGGAAATCAGCTACGGAGATCCCAGACAGCTGACCACGGCATCTAGTGGCTCAGATTAAAAATTCCAGCCACCATCTTTTACCCATCTTTGGGGAAAAAAGCTTCTCTTAGCTCTCAAGGATTCCCCTTATACTAACCCAGTGTTTTGTGTCCTGGATGGGAAAAGCAATTGAATTCCAGAAGCAGAGCTTCCATAACGGAATTCCGTCTTCCATAATGGAATTCAGCCCATTCAGTCCGTCTTCATTTCTGGTGCCATGGCTTGGTGCTGAGCTCCTAGTGCTAACGGCCCTCACCACACCCTTCCCAGACCTCGGCGGCTGTGGAAGGAGGAAGAAGTATTTGTATTTTCAACCCTTAGTTGCCTTTCAGAGGTTCTCACTGAAGGTGAGTGACTGGAATAAAAAACGGTGCCGAACTATAGGAGAGCTTTGCCACGGCCCCTCCGGGAAGCACCTGCTCCACCTGTAGCATGAATTCATAGCCGACAATCTGGCAAAATGTAGATTTTTAACAATATTGTCTCAGACCCCTGGGTTTCAGACAGTTCCCATTGCATCTGAAATTTTAATGAAGGAGGAAGAAGAGAAAGAGCTCAGAGGGGAGGGTGGTCTGGAACTGGCACAGCAGGCTCCCAAGGGTGGCCAAAGAATGAATGGGTCCATCAGAGTGCTGGGCCTTGCCCCTAGAGGGTCTGACTGGATGTGGGGCGAAGGTTGGAAATAAGTCTATACTTTAACAAAGCTCCTTTGGAACTTCTGAGAATCATTTAAGTTTGTGAACCCTTAAAATGAGGGGCTGCTCAACAGTCTCCTAATTAGCCTCTCCTCCCGTCCTGGCCCCAGGAGTCCCTCCCGCCACCCATGTCTCCCTCCCCTCCCTCTGAACACCAGGCCTCAGGGTCAGTCTTTTTGCTCCACTTTTTGTCATTAGCCCCCCTAGAGGCCCGTGGCTGAAACCGGAGTCGGTCCCAGCCCCAGTGCTAGGTGGAGCAATTGACCGGGGCGGTTTCAGCGAGGGCTTTGGGTTACCAGACAGCCATCTGCTGGCTGTCCTCGCCAAGGGAACGGGAGCCAGGGCGCTCTCACCGGGCGTCGGCTCCACGCGCCCCATTGTGCGGGGAGCAAGGGGATCCACCTCACCTTCTGGCACCTGCACTACCAACAACTCCCCTAAGGCTCTGCAGAGCCTTTTCATTAATATCTCAACACCTCCCAGAATAGCCTGCCTGCTTTGTTAGGGAGAGCCCACGTCCAAAGGAATAACAGCCTCCCTCTTTCATTCCTCCCCCCGGGCTGGACGCCCACAGCCGCTTGCTCATTCAAGACGAATTTAACAGCCCACCCCTCAAAACAGAGACTGAACACCCACCCACTCCTACTTCCCTCCATTTGTTGGTCCTTTTCTCTTTATGGTTTCCAGAAACCCATGGTTATTACAAGATTCTATGCTACTGACTGAAATAATTTTTATCTTCTTAAAAAGAAACTTTTTATTTTTATCCATGTAATGCATCTACATAATTTAAAACTCAAATGTACTACAAAGCCTCTAACAAAAAAATAGCAGTTTCCTTTTCCTTCCCTCCCTAAACACTAACACATTCAACTCTTAAAGTGGTTTTAGAAAAAAAGTATTATGGGGGGGAGGAGGCAGGGAGGGGCATAAAAACCTTTCTATCAGGTACAATGAACACTATTCAGGTGATGGGCACACTTATAGCCCTGACTAAAGCATTATAAAGCTATCCATGTAACAAAAATATTTGTATCCTCTTAATATTTTGAAATTATAAAAAAGATTTTAAAAAAGAAAAAAGTCTTAACCTGAATATTTTTAATATTCTTATATTTGTATACTGATTTTTCATTTTTTTTCAATTTGGGACAGTATCAGCTTCCTATTATGAAAAATGAGAATATAGGACTTTTATACACGTTCACTATCTACACAGAATTTCCCTCCTTTCTCAATATTTATGTTTTTTGTCAAATTGACATTATAATAGTGTTTATGATTGTACAGTGTTGCTCATTGTTGAGCCATGTAAGTGTACTACGATTATGTTTCTCTTCGACATTTTGTTCTGAGTTAATAATTTCCTCTTTTTACTTGCTAAGTTATTCTATGTAGATATCACCAAATTTTCCCAAAATTTTCACAGAACTATAAAACCCCTTTGTTTTGCTAAAAAAAAAAATCTGTGGAAGAATTCATGATCTTTTCTTTATCCCTAGTATTTAAAAAATGTATGATGATGTGTTCTGGGTTGGTCTTTATTACTCATTTTCTGGGCATTCCTGGCAATTTTTTTCCAGTTTGGAAATGCATGTCTTTCTGTTCTTTTATGAAATTTTCGTCCATTTTTCCTATGTCTATCTCCAGGTACAGATGTGTGCCAAAATCTACCATTAGATGGGGGACAGCTCTCATTTTCTATCCTTTCTCTTGTCCATCTTTGTCTTTTTCTTCTGTTGAGAGATTTCCTTTATCTTCTAACCCTTCCATTGAAACATTTATTTTGGCTATCATATTTTTAAAAGCTCATAGTTATATTTCTATCTCTAGAGCAGACCTCTCCAATTTTCTGAGTGCAATATTTTCTATCTCTCTGACAACATTGACATTGGTTATTTTTTTCAAAAGTTTTTTGTTCCCTGAATTATCTCTGTTGCTTTTTTTTTTCTTGATTATTAATAGAATATGAAGTTTTTTAAAAAAGACAACTTCCCTTTCCTCCATTGCCTTTAATCATTCTCTTCAGAATTAGCTGTGGTTTAGTTTGTTACATGTAATTCAAGGTTGTTTTTCATGCACTTACATTTAAATACATACATGTGATTATGTACCTTATCTTTTATTCATACTACACTACACTAGTGTACTGCATCTTGTCTTTCTTTGTGTACTTAATATATGCTGAAGATGTTTTAATGTCTGTACAACTAAACTTTTTATTTTTTTATTTTTGAGACAGAGCCTTACTCTGTTGTTCTGGGTTGAGTGCAGTGGCTTCATCATAGCTCACTAAACCTCAACTCCTGGGCTCAAGCAATTCTACTGCCTCAGCTTCCCCAGTAGCTGGGACTATAGGCACGCACCATCATGCCCAGCTAATTTTTCTATTTTTAGTAGAAACAGGGTCTCGCTCTTGCTCAGGTTAGTCTCGAACTCCTGGGAGCTCAAGTGATCCTCCCACCTTGGCCTCTCAGAGTGCTAGGATTACAGGGGTGAGCCACCGGGCGCTGTCTAAATCATTTATTTTTAACTGCTGCATACTATACCACAATAAGATTTTGCCAATATTTATTTGACACTTAAATCATGTAACATGTGTCTCTTTTCAAATCAATACAGTTAAATCTTTTTTTACTTGTATTTCTATAGGATAAATATCTAGAAATAAAATTGCTGAGTTGCTAGCTAACTTTATTCAAAATTTTGATAGGAAATACCAAATTGTCCTACTAAAAATGTTGTATTAATTTACACATCTGTCAAAAATTATGGAAGTACCTATTTCTTCACATTCTTACAAACACTGGATATTATCAATCATTTTAAATTTTGCCAATTTGATAGGCAAAAAATATCTTATCAGTATATTCATGTTGTTACCTTGTTACCAGTAAAGTTTACAGCTTTTCCCATATCTATTAGCTGTTTTTAATTTTGTTCTCTATGAATTTCCCATTCACATCCCCCCCCCATATTTTTACTGTGTCATTTGTATTTTTCTTATTGATTTGCAGAATCTCTTTATATCCTACAGATACCAATTATTTGATTTTTGTAAAAGTTGAAGATACTTTCTCCCTGTTACCTATCTTAAGATGGTGGTATATGAAAGCTTTTAAATCCTTTTGTATTCAAATTTATCAAACTTTGTGTGTGTGTGTGTGTGACTTGTGAGTACATTACTCACAAGTAGGTAGGCACATTGCCTACCTACTTGTCCTATTTGCTCTTTGACACTTTTTTCTCTTTGCCTTCTTTTGAGTTTAATAATTTTTATTATTCCATTTTATCCTATATGCTTCTTTGTTTTGTTTATTTCTAATGGTTTCTTTAGAGTTTATAGTATACATCTTTAAGCTACCATAGACCACCTTTAAGTTATATTGTACCACTTCAAGTATAGCATAAGAAACAACAGCATACTTTCATTTCCCTTTCCTGGGCTTTGTGCTACTGTAGTCTGACATTTTACTTTTTACATATGTCATAAACCCTACAATACATTGTTTTTATTTTTGCTTTAAATAGTCAATTATTTTGTAAGGAAATTTAAAATGTGAAAAAAAATTATATTTATTCCCGTAGTTACCATTTCTGAGGCTCTTCATTCTTTGTACATAGATCCAGTTTTTTATTTGGTTTTGGGTTTGAGGGGTTATTTTTGCCTGAAATACTTCAATTAACATTTTTTTTGGTGCAGATCTGGTGTTGAATTCTTTCAGCTTTTACATACCTGAAGACATTTTGATTTCATCTTTGTTTTTGAAAGAGATTTTTGCTGGGTATAGAATTCTGACTTAACAGCATTTTTCTTTCCATCTTTAAGACCATTTCCATTGCTCTTTAAGTTTTGTTAGGCAGGACCAGAGTGACCTCAAGCAATACCTTTCTGAGTACTTTACTAGGTGTCCTATGTATTACAGGCTTTTTCATTCTAATTGGTGGGTAATCGGACTGTTCCTGCCCTTACGTGAGCTTCCAGGATCACTTCGTTCTTTTCTCATGGTTCACTCCCAGCCTCAAGTGCTTTCCTCACAGGTATATGCTGATCAGCACTCAGCTGAGGACTTGAGGAGAACCTTCTGCAAATCTCTAGGGCTCTCTCTTTCTCTCTGGACAGCTCTCTCTTCTGCCCTATGAACTCTAGCGACCTTGGTCTACCTAGGGAGACTGCTAGGATCTATTTGGTTTCCTCCTCTCTGTGTTGTGGCCTGGAAACTCTTAGGCAGTGAGATGGGGCAATGAAAATGCTCAGTTTCCTTTCTCTGAGAGCTACTCTACTACACTGCCTATTGTTAAATGTCTACAAAACATTTTTTATTCATATTTTCCTTTATTTTAGTTATTTAAGGTTGTAGAGTAAAACTAGTTCCCTATCCCTCCATCATGGCTGAAATGTTTTATTTGGAATTTTGATTGGAATTGATGAGAAAAGTTAATATATATTATTCTTTCAAGAAAATGGTACATCAATTTATTTAGGCTTCCTTTAAATCCTCCCGTGGATTTTATTGTCTTACACATTTGTACTGATGTTGCATTTAAAGGCCCCAATATAGGCTCCTTGACTTTTCTCGAACATTTTATTCTTACCCTGTAGGAAGTCAGCAATAGAGACAAAAGAGGACCCTGGAACTTCTGCTCCTTAGAGTAGCTCCTGACTCTATCCTCTTCCTCCCACCTCTGTAGATCAGAAGGGCAGGGCCTGTCCCAGCTGACTCTTTCGTGATGGCAGAGCAGCATTGAGCAGTTCTGGATTAGAGGACCTGAGGGTGGATGAAAAAACATTAGAAGCATCCCTCATGGAACCTCAAGGTGGAAACTGGCTTACAGCTGCTTCATACTGGCATGGCTTGCCTGAAGCTTCCTTCTACTTTTATCTATACTTGGGCATGGATGTATCATACTATGAGAAGTAAAACCTGAAGATTGAACTACTGGACTACAGGGGGATGCTACCATCTTTATCTGGTTGTGGGGTCACTCCACCTACCTTATGTATGTCACAGTCCTCTTCTTTGACAGATGGTTACTAATGCACAGAGAGAAAATCATCTCTAATAATATCTCTGGGTTAAACAGGCATTTATGGGCCAGTTACGGAAGTTGGGGACATGTGTTCTAAATGTCAACCAACCAATTTAGAAGCAAACTTGGAACTGAGTCTTCCTTCCTAAGTTGGGAACTGTCTGTTCTTATGAAATACATCTCTTGCAGTAATGACAATAATAAATTGAGGAGACCTCAGCTGACTACAGTTGACACCAGATGGGTAAACACCCATCCTAAGTAATGAGCTGGTTAATTATAGCTGTGCCATGTTTATAGACCTTCAATTAATCTCCTGAGAGTATATAACTTCATCTCTTACAATGGCTCATAGCATCTGAACAGGACTTTTCAGAGGTCAGGCTTCTCCATTAACTCAAAATACATGTTTTAAAAATCAAAGGGCTGGGTGAAATTAGCTTATTTATTTTCTATATACCTCTGTGTGGGAATCAACTTGTATAAAGCATTAAAAAATGCCAGGGGCCAGATGTGGTGGCTCATGCCTGTAATCCTACCACTCTGGGAGGCCAAGGCGGGAGGATCACTTTGAGGTCAGGAGTTCAAGGCCAGCCTCAGCAAGGGCGAGACCCCATCTCTACTAAAAATAGAAACAAATTAGCTGGGCGTGGTGGCGCACGCCTGTAGTCCCAGCTACTTTGGAGGCTGAGGCAGAAGGATCGCTTAAGCCCAGGAGTTTGAGGTTGCTGTGAGCTAGGCTGACACTATGGCACTCTAGCCCAGGCAACAGAGCAAGACTCTGTCTCAGAAAAAAGACAAAACAACAAAACAAAACTGGCAGGGCAAATGAAACAATGACAGGGAGATTTAAAAACATTTTATGGTACTCACATAAACCCTACCCTCATACTTAGCCAACCTGTCATGTGTATGTAACACCCTGGTCTCTAAACTGTGGGTGTATTCGGTCTTTCTGAAATGGTGAGTTGAGTGCCATACTTGAAAGTTGGCCCACTCTCTGACAGCTTTACTGGCAAAAGAAAAAATGTCATTCTCACAAAATGCAATATACCTGGATACTCTGGTGACCCAATTCATCCTAACTGTGGGTCATGCTAGCTCAGGGCAGATGGCCTGGCTGGTCTATATTGCTCAGGCTCAGCTGTAGACCAGTGGGTTGCAACGCTGATGCACATTAGCATCACCTGCAGAACCTTCCAGACCAAATACACCAGCAGCTCTGGGCTGGGCTCCAATCATCACTGTCTAAAGGAAGCTCTCTCCAGGTCATCCTAACACGCAGCCAGGGTTGAGAACCACTGCTATAGACTAGAATAGTTGTGACCATCATGCCAAGCTTTAACACGCAGAGAATCTATGCAGAGTAGATTTAAATTCATAATATAAAGAAAGCACAAATTAACTCTAGTTTTCCCAAGGCCTTTGCCAAGTAAGGAAAAATTGCCTATTTCTCCAGTAGTATCTATTTTAGGAGATGACATCCTTCCTTGTGTGTGTGTATGTAACACAGTCCTTTGGTTCTGCTTCCTACACAGCTTTTGAATTTTTCCTTTCCTCCCTGCTACTATACTCTCAGTTCAGACCCTCATCATCTCCCAACTTCCTCCCAACCTTCTGCTAGTGCTGCTCCCATTGTTTCTCCCAAACCTCGAACACATGTCTCTTCCCTTTTGTAACTCCCTTCGGTGGTTCCCTGCTGTCTAGAAGAAAACTTGGTGTCCTCATCTGGGCGTCCAGGACCTTTCATGACTAGGATGGAAGTTGATTACTCAAACCAAAAAGTCCCTTGAGCTCCTCACAGGTCCCTGAATGACCATTATCTTGGCTTCTGAGCCTTTGCCTGGGCAGACCATACCTTGCCGCATCCTGCCAGAAGTCCCCACTCAAGACTCTTCTTTCTAGTAAAACCTTCTCTGATCTTCCCGCCTCCCCTTTCCCACCCCGCAGGTCTTTCCTGCCTCTGTGCCACAGCAAAGCCTATACAAGCCTCGTATGTGTAGCACACAGTGGATGCTCAAAAAATTACTTAGCAAATAAATTTATCACACCATCAAAACTAGAGTCTGTCTTCCCTATTAGGTTCTGAGCTTTCTCTAAGGGCAATGGGTAACCATAGTGTATGTAGTTAAAAAAGCAAAGCTTTTGGAGACAGATTCCTGTTTGAAGCTCTGCTCTCTCACTCACTAGCTGTAGGATACTGGGCAAGTTTAACTGTTTCCTCAGCTGTGAAATGGGGGTGACAACTCCTTGAAGAGTTACGAGGATTAGACATGGTGTGTGTATTATCAGATGTATAGTTGGTGACCGGGTATTAAATATTTTCTTCCCTTGACTCCAACTTGTTTACAATTTACCAGGTATTCTGCAAAACTCATGAGTAACACACCATTACAAAGCTTTTGTTTTGGACCGTATGCTTCTAAATGGCCAAGTGGTTCTATTCTATAAAAGTTAAATGTTTGCTACATTTGAAAGCCCTCCTCTCTCCCATGCTAGTTATCAGGGGCACATTAAACCGAAGACCTTATTTGATTCCTCAAACAGTCCTTTGCATTATTACACCCATTTTATAGCTAAGCAAACTGGAGCAAAGAGAAGGCAATGGATTTCCCTTTAGAAAGAGAACTGGGGCTTTTCAGAATTCTGCCTATTGACTCTCAGTTCTGAGTTGTTTCTCTAATGCCACGCTGACCTCACAGTCTTGTGAATGCATACTTTTAAATGCAACCACTTAGTGTTTTGAAATTAAAACCAACAGTCGTGGCTGGGTGCAGTAGCTCACACCTGTGATCCTAACACTTTGGGAGGCCAAAGTGGGAGGATTGCTTGAGGTCGGGAGTTTGAGATCAGCCTGGGCAATATTGAGAATCTATCTCTACAAAAAATAATAATAATACTAAAAAACTTAGCTTGGCGTGGTGTCGCATGCCTGTAGTCCCAGCTACTGGAGAGGCTGAGGCAGGAGGACTGCTTCAGCCCAGGAGTTTGAGATTGCTGTGAGCTATGATGACACCACTACACTCTAGCCCTGGCAACAGAATGAGACTCTGTCTTTTTTTTTTTTTGAGACAGAGTCTCACTTTGTTGCCCAGGCTAGAGTGAGTGCCGTGGCATCAGCCTGGCTCACAGCAACCTCAATCTCCAGGGCTCAGCGATCCTACTGCCTCAGCCTCCCAAGTAGCTGGGACTACAGGCATGCACCACCATGCCCGGCTAATTTTTTGTATATATATTTTTAGTTGGTCAATTAATTTATTTCTATTTTTGGTAGAGACGGGGTCTTGCTCAGGCTGGTTTCGAACTCCTGACCTTGAGCAATCTGCCGGCCTCGGCCTCCCAGAGTGCTAGGATTACAGGCGTGAGCCACCACGCCCAGCCGAGACTCTGTCTTAAACAGAAAACCCAACAGTCTAATAATGACTGTTTTAAGGGTCTAAATTAGTTATTTTACTTTAAAAAAAATATTATATTTTAAAAAGTAGAGTCCTTTCAGCCCCACAATTTGGGACTGAATAGTGGCTGACTACCACAACCCCTTGGACTTAACCTCTTGGAAACTTGGTTTCTTCATCTCTCGCTTGAGAATAGTACCTGCCTTATGGGAATATGAGAATTAAACACATACAATTCTAAAACACATGAAACAGGGTCTGGCACTTGGTAGTACTCAGCATCAGCTATTACTATCGTTACCATGAAGGCTGTTTTACTTGGAGTTCTATCACATGGGACTTTTATTTACCATGCTCCACTGCAGGAAAGAACACAAAGAAAACATTCATTCCTTAATGCTTCTTGCTTGAGAGAGAGCTCTAATAATAAAAAAGCAATTTAAGGCAAAAAAAAAAGTAACTTTATTGACTGCTAATCTTACCATGAAACATCTATAAGAAATAATTACAAAATAATGTCTTGTTTTGTTTTTTCTTTTTAACATACTTTTGGTATCATCCTGATATGATGATCCTTTCACAGAAAGGATTATTTACAGTTTACGTAGATATAAAGCTCATTGTTGCAAATACAAATGTAGATGTGTAGAGGCAATATATACCAAACTGGTATACTGAATAGCAATGGATATGTAAGAAATGCAGAATAAATAACAGCTTTATACTTTTCTTTTTATTTTTAAAAACAATTTCAAAATACAAAAATGTAGATTATTCAAAGTGGATTTTCATTTACATATATATATATAATTCTGCTGGAAACAGTGGATTGAAAAGCAAAAATGTTCCTTAGCATGTTTCATTTTGAAAACCCACAAGACTATTTATAAATCCAATTAGAAAGAGGGTGTGCAAAACCACCAACAATGCTGGCAAAACCCTAAAGACCTGATTCTGGCTAAAGTGGAGAGAAAGTATAAAGCATTACCTGTTTATAGTAATTCAATGTTTCTTTCTTTGTTTCTTTCTTAAATATTCCTTTTCTTTATGTTTGTAAGAAACTCTAAGAGCTAAGGAAACGCACTGCAATATGATCTGGGCTCTTTAGAGTATGAACTTTCCTAAGACTTGTCTATCTCAAGCATTATCTATAAGAAGTGGATTATTTAATGACTTACAAGTAAAATAGCCATTAAATGATCCTTTCATATTTTTATCCTTTTACACAGAGACTGAGATCCTTTTATACATTCTGATATCCAAAACTTTGGTTCTATTAAAGCATTTGATAAGAGCAAAATAATTCCATGACTATAGAACTTTTTTCCTTTTAAAGTGTCAGGTGAAACTAGTTTGACAAGGCATGTTGCATACACGTCTGCGACCCAGCATAGGAGGGACAGCACAGGTGGGGCATGTTCACCATGTTTTATAATACTGACTCCCATCCCCAGGTAACACTGCTTATGTTTCTGCTTTACCCTAACTCTATTTCTTTGTTACCTGAAAACATAATAATTTTGTACAAAAATATGACTGTTTCTTTAGAAAATAATATATAGTTTTTTAATAAAACCTGGCAGATAGAAAAAATGGTGTATCAAAATATGGTAAACAAATGTTGTAAAATACTAAATCATTAAAAACATCTCGTAGAAAGACATTGTGCTATGAAGTTCTCTCCTGAAGTGCGAGCAATGTTTTTACTATACATCAAAAGGTTGATAAATTCAGTCTCTGACTTGGTTTCATTAAATGTCATAACAGCAGCATGGCGGGTAACTGTCCTATAAGTGGCCCTTTCTCATACACCACATCTTCTGTATACTTTTTACACTTCAAAATTAACAAAAAGACACCCTCTGGATCAGTGGTTTTCAACCCTGTTGCATATTAGCTCCATCTGGAGAACTTTAAAAGAAAAGGCAACTCTACTTGGGTCCCACGATAAGAGACTGGTGGGAAGACCCAGACATTATTTTTTAAAAGCTCCCCCAAATTTCTGTTATGCAATCAGGGTTGAGAATCATGGCCAAAGGCACATGAGGAAACAGTCATTCTTAACTCTACATTCAGCAACTGATTGTCTGCAGGGATCATTCATTTGGTAATGTACCCTCAATCTTAAACAAGGAATTCCATGTATACAAGATAGCTAGCAAAGCCAAAATGAAGACTTAGTAAGCTTTAAACACATATAAACACACACAATCCCATGTATTTATATATGTATAACATATACACATAGTTAGGGTATTTTGGTTAAGCAGAAACTAACATGACCATAATTTGTTCTTGATTATTTAAAAAAAAAAAAAAACCTGAACAAAATACCACCAAGCACAAACATTTTCTAAGACATTTCCATGGTTCTAACAGAAACCACTTTTGTAAACTCCACAAAATGCATTATGACATGAACACAATTGATCTGTCACTTGGATGAGAAACTCAACAGAACCGTGGAGCTTTCTGGAAGATCAAAGAGGAGGACATGGCACTGATCAGGTGTGTCGGAGTCACAAGGCATCACAGCATGCAGAATCTTCAGGTTATTGCTTAATTCCTGTCTTCCTGGACCTCCGAGCAGGTGCTTCCATTACGTACGTATCTTTGGCTTGCTAGAACCACATGATTTTGCCCACTTTGTCAGTGTTCACTTTGGGACAGCCTCACTGAAGTGGCAATGGCTATGTACTAGGCAATGGTCTCTCTGCTAAAAGAGAGAACCTTCCCCCTTCCCTCCCTCCAACCATGAACATTTTTATGAGGGAGTGGTAAAAAAAAAAAATTTACAAGCGAACAAACCTAAAAACATCTCTCATGTGATAAAAAGTGTGATATTACGTGGAACTGACCTAAAAAACAGCAAGTGAGCAAACACACCACAGTCCGATATTCTGAAGGCTTGGTGATCAGTAAAGCGCATATCCTTCCAAAAGGTCAGTGAACTTCTGGGCACTCGTCTTCCTGTACATTTTCTGTAGTTCTTTCACTTCTGTGTGATACTTAAAGTGCGATTGTCTCAAGGCTTTTGTTTCCATCACGAATATTATAAAGAAAGAGCTATGTTTGTAGTGAAGAAAATATGGCACAAATAATGAAGAACCCACGACTTTCACATCCTCAAGCAAACAGCAGGCTGCCAGTACGGCTGCATGCGGATGGACTTTATACGACAAACTCCGGAACTTCATCGTGAGTAAGATCCAGAGAAAAGTATTTGCTGGTTCTTTTGACTGGAAAGGCATCTTGCATGTTGACGCACTGCTGAGCCAAGCAGCTGTTGCAGTAGAGGCCTTCCTCGTCCAGTTCGTGGCCACATCCAAAGGTATAGCTCTGAGCGGTGTCCTGACACAGACCTGCAATGCGCAGGAAGTCTTTCTGGTAAAGTCTGATGTCATCAAGGCTCAAACTATGTCGATCCGTGGAGGTCTTTGGTTTTCGGCATATAGTCTGCAAAATAGGGGGCGGTTGAGACAACGTTAAGAGCACAGACTAAAGCGAAAGGCTAGCATGTTTGCCCTGTAAAGAGAGATGCCGCGAAATCATAAAAGGTGAAGTAATCCTTGTATGTTAGAAAGTGGTTTCCAATCTACGCGGCTTCTGGGCCCCTAAGGCCCTGTGGGGAAATACGTCAACACCACCTCCACCAACGAAAACAGCAGCTAACATTTACTGAACACCTACTTTGTGCCAGGCCCTGACCTAAACACTCTGCATGTCTTAACTCGGTTAATCTCCCTAACAGCCTCATGAGGCAGGTGCTATTATTCCGCCGCATTTTACAGATAAATCATCCAAGACACAGAGATGAAGATACAACAGGAATCTAACTATCCCTAGCATTTCAGAAATCAAGCAATTATCTTTAAAATAAGGCTATAAAGTGTTCTTGCTGCTGAAAAGGTGGGCAAGCACCAGGACTAGGCAGCAGCTCCTGAACACTCATGGAGGTCATGTTCTGCCAAATGCTTTAGCTAGCAGGGAGCAGACTTTTGGAACCCATTATCCCAAGGGGTGGTGCTAGTGGAAAATATAAAAAAGTTAAAAAATGGTTCAGATAATTACATGGATGGAAGATACTTGCCATATTACCTAAGAAAACTAGGCATTATATCTCTAACTTTTGTTGCTTAACACCACAAAGGGCAACCTTGTTAGAATAAGGGATTGCTTTTGCTAGAGGCAAGAGTTCCAGGAGGGCATTTTACTAGAAGGTGCCTGAATGACACTCCCAGTACAGCAGGATCCCTTGCACTGATGCAGTCTTCCCTGGCCCCAAGAGGATTTCACACATAAAATCATTTGGTCATCCCCACAAACTCTCAAGACAGAGACACAGATGTTCTCCCCATGCTGTTAAGTGTGGAATCTGATTCTCAGCCACACCCCACAAACATTTTTCACAATAAGAGTTAACACCGAGTGGCAGAGCCAGGGTGCAACCCAGCTGGGGTGACTCTGGGGCTTGCACTCCAATTCACCACGCTACACACACTGCTTTAAAGATTACTCATCAGACTTTTCAGAAAATATTTAATAAATATCATTTTCACATTATGGATACTTTAATGAAAGTGAAGGACAAATGAGAAAAAAGGAAAGAAAGAAGGTGAAAATATCAGGGACAAAGAGAGCCAGCATTTAAGAGAAAGAAAGAGGCCTGGCGTGGTGGATCATGTCTGTAATCCTAGCACACTGGGAGGTTGAGGCGGGTGGATCGCTCAAGGTCAGGAGTTTGAAACCAGCCTGAGCAAGAGCGAGACCCTGTCTCTACTAAAAATAGAAAGAAATTAATTGGCCAACTAAAAATCTAACAAAAAATTAGTCAGGGCATGGTGGTGCATGCCTGTAGTCCCAGCTTCTCGGGAGGCTGAGGTAGGAGAATCTCTTGAGCCCAGGAGTTTGAGGTTGCTGTGAGCTAGGCTGACGCCAGGGCACTCTAGCCCAGGCAACAGAGTGAGATGCTGTCTCAAAAAAAAAAAGAAAAAAAAAAGAGACAGGAGGGAAAAAAAAACCAAAAAAACAAAGAACAAGATACAAAGAAAGCCCATAAAGCAAAGACAGGAGCAGGGAGAGAGTTCTCAGAAAATAGAGGTATTAGTTGCAGATTATATCCAAATGCTAAAACCATGAATCAGAGTACTTTATCTATATCTTTTGACATTTTAATACTTTAACTGGTGATCACAGGTTGTCAAATGCTCTAGCTCAGGATACTTTAAAAATTCAATCTGAATGGAATAACCAGAGTGTGGAAACACTTCTGCTGTAATACACCTGACAAGAACATTATTCTCCCAGGTTTTTAAGGTCAATCAACACACACACTCACATAGAGATAACCTAAAGCCTGAAGACCAGAAGGTGTCCCACCTAAATAAAGTGTGAAATGAAATATATAATTTATCCAAATAATAATCAATGCAAAGATAAGTGGAACTAGCAAATAAAATGGAAATAAATTCAGAATAAAATTAGAATGCATGTATCTGGTAAGAATCACTTTCTTAGGGTCTTAAATTTTTGCTCATTTGTGTAAATATAAATGTAATTTCTTACTTAAAATTTTCTATAACTTCAGTTCCTAATTTAAACTTTTCAGTTCCTTTAGTACCTGTGGAAGAGAATCGGTACTCTGCCCACGAAGTTTGACAACTGTTTCTGAAGAGCTCGAGGTGGAAGAACCGATTTCCTTCACAATCAACCCTGAAACAAAACACAGAGGGAAAAAAAACAATGAATTCTTCAAATAATTCACACTTCTTGCTACATATTCTGACATATACTGTTACCAGGAATGAAATTCTCTCTTGTTTATGGTAAACAGCGGGTAGTGAGGAAATGTGGGTTAGAGCGCAGAAAGGAGTTTAGAGTCTGAGTTTTCTAAAATAAAATCCTGATTATGCTGCTTATGAAGTTAGAAATAAAAAACAAAGACTGTAGGTATGAAGCAGTCTCTTTACTATATCTCACAAAGCTTCCCCTCGTTTCCTTTCCACATATCACCAATGTTGAACTCAATCCTCGCTGAGCAGTGACGCAGCCTTCCAGGTTTCGTTCCGCTTGGACGTGCAGGGGTGAACTGCGGGGGCTCGGCCTCTGGTGTCACACAGATCTGGCTGGAACTTGGCCCAGACAAGTAGCGAGCTGTGTGTCCCGGCCCATCACTTAGCCTCCCTGTGTCTCAGCTCCCCTTTGTACAAAATGGGGCCGGTAACAGCACCTGTCCACGAGAGTTTTAAAGAGGACTCAACAGCAAAGGCATGAAAAGGGTGAGGTATAGGGCCTGCACATGGACACGGTAAGTGAGAGCTTTGCCTGGCTGATGGGGCACTGTGGCACATACCTCCTGCAGCTGACCCCAGGGGAGGAGACCAAAATGGGCAGCCGCAGTGAAAATTCAGTACTGGGTCACTGAGGACAACGGAGCCCCTAATCACCTTAGTGCTGAGGGGAGACCCACAAAATCTGGGGGAACAGAAATCCAAGGCTGACACTTCCCCATATGACTATGGCATGTGAGTGAGGCACCCAGAAAAAACATATTTTAGAAGGTAAAATTATCAACAAGAACTGAATTGGTTAAGTGAACACTGCTGAAATTTTTCTTGCCGACAGATGAAGCAAGTGAGTAGGTCCAGCCCTAGATCCACAAAGCCAAATGGCTTCTTAAGAAAAGTCCATCTCCACCTTATAGAAAAAGCAACTTGAGTAACGTGATTTTTATTCGACCAACCACTGCTAGGAACCTACAGGAATGACTTTTTGTGTTCTATCCCTTAACTCTTTAGAACTGTCTCATAATGATTCAGTGTCTAGCATATGCCTTGAATATATGAAGTGTTCAACCGAAACCTGAAATATGAAAACATTTCTGATTTCCATGTAGATAGTTTAAAAGTGCTCAGGTGATATTCATATTTTGGGGTTTAGTACAAATTGCTATACTATAGAGTCCTTCTCTAGAAAGATCTTTCTCTTCTATAAAGCATTAAACCTTTCAACAAATCCTCATAGGAACATGTGGACTTGTGCACTGGTTGGCACTTGGTATGGTTCCTGTTGGATATCCTGATAAATGTACCCCCAGCTACCATGCCTACAAATAATCTTCCCCTAACCCAGACCCACTATGAGAAAAGTCAGCATTGAGCCTGGTGCTCAAAACACTGAACCAACTCCTTCAACAAGATTGAAGGACAGTGGCATACTTCATCACAGCTCCATCTTAGCTCAATGTTTTAAAGACAATGCTTAAATGTTCAAGCTATAGAGAATTTGGAGAACTAGGATGATGCAAGGAAGAGAATAGAATCACATATAATTCTATCACCCAGAGAAAAGGCTATTAGTATTTTTATGTATTTTATTTTTATAGACATATAAACATTTTTATTTTTAAATTAGACCATACTTTTATACAATTTCCACTGTTTTTCTTACCTATCTTTCTTTTTTTTTTTTTTTGAGACAGAGTCTCACTCTGTTGCCCAGGCTAGAGTGAGTGCCGTGGCGTCAGCCTTGCTCACAGCAACCTCAAACTCCTGGGCTCAGGCCATCCTCCTGCCTCAGCCTCCCGAGTAGCTGGGACTACAGGCATGTGCCACCATGCCCGGCTAATTTTTTCTATATATATTAGTTGGCCAATTAATTTCTTTTTATTGATAGTAGAGACGGGGTCTCGCTCTTGCTCAGGCTGGTTTCGAACTCCGGACCTCGAGCAATCCGCCCGCCTCGGCCTCCCAGAGTGCTAGGATTACAGACGTCAGCCACCACGCCCAGCACCTATCTTTCTTATGTTACTAAATATTCCTTGAAAATCTCATATTTAATGACTATATGATATTCCATTGTATGAATAGAATATATTTTAACCACTCATTGTTATTTTTTTGCTATAACATTTCAATAAACATATTTTGTATATCAGTCTTCTTACATAGCCATCCTAGTTTATTTAAATTTTATTTCCATTTAAAATTATGAAATTAATAATCTTATAAAAATATAAATGTGGAAATATATAAATACAAAGTATGATACAAGTCAGCTTCCCTCATATCCCTGCCCTCCTTCCCATAGGCACTCTAGCATACACTGTTTCAGACCATTTCCATTATATAAACATCTATACACAGAGCTATTCATGCACTCATAATGTAGGTGCACGAATTTATAACTGTGAATTTATTTATATTTAATATACATTAAAATGTACTTGCAAGAAGAAAAATTCAGTATCATTAAGCAAATGGGCACAAAGGGCCACCGTTTGCATGTGAACTCTAAGCATGTCTATAGCAACCGGCCTGATGCGACCACGTTGCTCCGGGAGAGGAATTCTACACAGCACGGGCAGGTCTGCTCCTGGAAGAGCATCTGGAGGCCACAGCTCTGCGGGTTCGCAAAGGGAACTCTGAAATGAAAGGCACCTCATGCTCTTGCAGAGTAAGTGCTAGGACGATGGGGACTGCGGGCTGGTCTTGTTCCGGGAGAGGCTCCCTGAGCACCGGGGACTGTGTGCCGGACAGGGCAGCCACAGTTGCCCCGGTTGTAACAGGGTCTTTTATTCAACCAAGGCTGGAAGTGACGGAACAATACGTACTTGGGCCACTTCAATAGTGGTGGTTCCCAAGGCTCATTTTTCTAAAGAACAGAGACTAATTCATGACAAGTGACAAAAGCAGTTAAAAGTGACTGAGGTTTAAAAACAAAGCTCATACTACTGCCTGTTTTTTTTTTTTTTTTTAAGACAGATAGAAACGGATTTATTATATAAACCTATATTAAAATTACAGTGAATGCATGTTTTCTAAAAGAATTCATACCAATGAGGAGTTTAAAAGTTTCTTTTTAGGTCAACCCTTTTTGGCACTTTTTCTCCCAGACTCCTGTACCAGTAAAACAGAATGGGAAACATAAAACAAAACAACAGAAGGCCCTGGATGCTGCAGTCTATGACCCTGACCTGGAGAAGCTCTTATTCCAGTCCTCTCTCTGACCTACAGCTCCCCCCCACACACCCCTATTTCCTGAGGCACCTGCTTTTCAGACCAGAATAATCTGCTGCCTAAGGAGAACTTCCCGTAAGAGCTCACCAGAGTGTCCATTCAGCTTCCGCGACACGAGCATGTCCTCTGTGATATAGATGCACATGTCTGGGCTGACTTCCAGAGACTCTTCATTCATCTGCTCCAGGTCCCGGGGGTCATCAACCAACATCTCTATTTCTGACACAGAAGAAGGAAAAGACATTTAATGACATGATGGGAAATGACCATCATAATCCACAGCCACACTTGGAGGGTGGCCACATAATTATTCATATTTGAACATAAATTCACTAACGAGACTCTTCAACAAGAAACTCTACACAGACCATTCTCAAGTAGGTGCTACTTGCTCTCTTTTTTCATAGGTTTTGCTGTGTTATCTACGTATCTTCTAATGCCAGGATGATTATCAGTTATTCCTTACTTTTTAAAAGATAAGAAAAACTATACTACCGTGCTGCAATGACAAATGGCAAAGTGAAACTCATGAGCCGTTTGCCTAATGCCAAAGTAGGGATCGTTGACATAGGCAGCTGAGCGGGCCACAAAACTCTCCATTCCCACAGTTGCCCACTCACAGAGCGCTGAGTGACTTGATTTGAGATCCATACGAATGCTACAGGAACTAAACATATGTCCTGACGTTTTCCTTAACAAAGTCAGTATCTTTTCCCTAAACCTGAATACTACAGCACTTATTTGAGACAGAAAAATAATATAAAAGAGGTATACAAATGCTAAGTTTGGCTGACATAGGCTGGTAGTCTTATCTGTTTAAAACAAAGTAAGTTCCTAGCAGCCAGGTGCTACATATATTTTTTTATACTCCTGATAGTTTTGGTCACATAGGGGACACTTAAGAAACACTTTCCTGGCTGGGCGCAGTGGCTCATGCCTGTAATCCTCGCACTGTGGGAGGCCGGGGTGGGTGGATTGCTCAAGGTCAGGAGTTTGAAACTAGCCTGAGCAAGATCCCATCTCTACTAAAAATAGAAAATAATTGGCCAACTAAAAATATATAGAAAAAATTATCCAGGCATGGTGGCGCATGCCTGTAGTCCCAGCTACTCGGGAGGCTGAGGCAGGAGGATTGCTTAAGCCCAGGAGTTTGAGGTTGCTGTGAGCTAGGCTGATGCCACAGCACTCTAGCTGTGGCAATAGAGAGACTTTGCCTCAAAAAAAAAAAAAAAAAGAAAAAGAAAAAAAAAAGAAACAAAACACTTTCCTACTTAACCCAATGGCATGGACTCAAATCTTTATTGGGGTGGGAGGGTGTATGTCCAGGACTTCAAGACGTTTCTGTCACTGTCAGTGCACTCCACTCTGGTGTCCTAACCATTGCCTTACTACTCTGTGAATCAGAAACACAGAGATGAAGGCTGTAGGACTAATGTCTTCTTCTTTCATATGATCGGCTAAGACTTAGGGTTCACACCGTCCACCATATGGCTGCAGAGGATTATGACTAGACAGATGCTTTGCTCACAGCCAAACACGAGCAACTCAACCAAGTCACCACGGAAGAAGGCAAGATACACTCTTCTCTATTACTACTATGTAAGCTCCCCCAGATACCCATTCTACAGAATCAATGCCTGAAAAAACTGGGGGAGAAAAAGCAAAGAGCCAGTGAGGGGACAGTACTGTTACCATCGTCCTGGGAGTCCTCTTCCAGTCGGTCTTTGCCTCCGCTCTCCACCCCTGAGGTGTGGGAGCTGCCGTGGCTGGTCATGGAGCTGCAGGTTTTCAGCTTGCGGTGGACGGCGCTGCCGGAATAGCTGTCCTCTGGCCCCGCGTCCCGGGGCTTGGTGTCGGCCTCGATGCCCGAGGTGTGGGAACTGCTGTGGCTGGCGGTGGAATGACGGGACAGGCGCTTGTGCTTCATGCTGCCTGCACTGCTGCCGCTGGCCCGCGACCGCTTTTCTAGCTGGTCCATGTCGAGGTCCAGGTTGTCGCTGATGTAAGATTCCCGGTACTGCTTCTTCTCTGTGGCAAGGAACACAGCTCATCATCATATTCAACCGAGACAGAAGGAACCGCTGGTTAGCTTAAGTGAGTCATCAGGACAAGAACAAGGACAATTTCACACTCGGAATCTAGTGACTAGAAAGTAGTGATACTTTAGCTAGGAGCTTGCCTGAAGAAGACTGTAAAATGAAAATTTAAAGAACAGTGCAACAGATTTGAGAGGAATATTTAAACTACTTAAAAGAGTTTTGAAGCCTCCGGCACTATAAGAAGAGTGCTATTAAAGTGCAGTTGCAGACCACTTCTTGTACGCAAACTGTTACTGGTCCATAGTAAAATAAGTTCAGTAACTGAGAATGAACATTTAGAAACTGCCATAGCTATCTGACATTGCCATGACAGCCACTAATGTGATTTTGCATTTTGTGAAAGTATCAGTCCATAGCATATTAGATATTTTAAAAATCTGGCCCTTCTCCACAGATAATTTCAGAAGCACTGCTAAAGAAGACTACTTAATAAATATAATTATGCTAATTGCCTTTCATTTTATTTGTTCATTTGCTTCAATTTGTTCCATTGTTAGCTTAGCTCTAGCTGCTGAATACAATTTAAAATGAAACTATTCTTCCGAGAATTTCCTGCAAAAATTCTAAAGTGTAGATTTTCATTAATATGATTGCTTTTTCTCCATGTAGGCCGAATTAGTGAGGCTTTATCATCCTTAGAAAACACAGTAATCACTACTGGTTTGATGATCTCTGATTGGTATATTTGTTCTTTGACCTAAAATGTCAGTGCTGTTCTTTATTGCAAAGACACAACACTGGGGAATCCCTTTCATCAAATTCTAAAGTAACCATGAAGGCACGAAGTTACAGCACAGCTGCAGGTATATAACTGACACAAAAAATGTTTTTGTGTTTCAGAACAGAAATCTAAAACAAAGAAACATTTCAGCTTCCTTGCCTTCTTAATGCTAATGAAAAATAACACATTGAAACAATGTTAAGAATGGAGAGTGCATTTGGGGAATGTTAAGTTGGTATCATTTTAGAAACTGCTAACTAGTAGACTAACTGGTTTCTGTGACTAACTGGTTTCCTGTGACTGTTAATAGATTTAATTGTCCTGTTTTTTGGTTAAGTGAAAATACTTGTACTCCTGACGTCTGAATCCAGCTATGAAGTATAATCACCACAGGCTCCCCAGACACACCTTCCAGGATGCAAAACGCAAAAAGTGCTTTGGAGAAGGCTATGTGTACATTTCCAGGCTCCAGCCCAACCATGCCATTCTAAGGCAGAGGTCCCCAACCTTTTTGGCACCAGGGACACGTTTCATGGAAGCCAGTTTTTCTATGGAAGAGGGGTGGGGTACGGAGGAGCTCTGTGGCCTACAGACGGGTACCAACCCACAGCCTGGGGGGTGGGGACTGCAGGTCTAAGAGATCAGGCTGGAACACAAAGGCGAGCATGTGCAGCCACACCGAAAGCAGGCTGGAAATGACACCAGAGCTCAACACACACATAATTTACAACGGAAGTGCATCCAAGTACAACTCATTGCTCAGGGAGTAGACTGAATTCTAATGATCCCTTATTTTCTGCAGTCAACAGAGGTAGAGATGAAGACGAAGAGCTAAAGGGACTTACAAAATTCTCGTACAATTTCTATTCATTGCAGTTACACGATAATTAGCTATGTGGCCCTTAGAAGGGTGGAAAGTGAAGAGAAAAAAGTAAAAAAAAGGCTATAAGGCATTGGAGTTCTATAGCTCTAAGACAAGTAGGAATTGTGAATGTACTCTCATTTAATAGCTTTTCTGCCTCCTTACAAAATAGCCTTTATATTCCCAACTTCCTGATAGGTTCAGAGCCAATTACAGTTATTCTATATTCATAAGTACTTGCCAGCCTGTCTTCCACCTAAAAGGAGGCTGGTGTAAATCATATTTCTTGTCCGCGTGTCAGTACAGCCTTAGTGTTGCATGCCACTGGCTTCTCTTCCCTTCCTAGTGCTGTATCATTGAGGCCCTTTGCAAACATTTAAGAAGCTTCATACCACCCAGTTACAAATTGAGGGAAATGTTTAAATAATTCTGAATTATTTTAAGAAACGCAAAATGCAACCTCTCCTCCCCGATAATCACTGGCATCAGTGGTGTGGATCATTGATTCCATATGTCTGTGTTCTTTTTATTCCCTGTTATAAAAGCCCAGAGACAACAAATTTTGCATACATGATTTTGGAATATAATGCAGTAAATGTGACCTCTTGACCAAAAATAAGCTTGAGCTATTGAATAAAGTTGGCTTAAAATTTTTTTTAATGACACAAGGCATGTTTTGCCTTCTCTTCTGAACCCTATGGAAGAATTCTTGTGATCATTTTCTACTATAAAATGCTAAAATAGTGTTTCAAACAAGGTGTCTCTAAATGAAATTTAATTAAGAAAAACACTGACTTTCTTTGTGCTAACCTGATGCCAAGAAAAGGGCTTTCCTTGTTAAAATGATGGCGCCCTTAAGTGTGGGTAAGATAACTGGCTTCAGGCCAAAGCTGGCCCAGAGAAACTTGGATTTAGGCCTTCTTCAGATGAGGAGGCACTGCTAAGTAGAAGAAACTAAGTATGGAAGAAGAAAACAAGGCTTCCCCTTTAATCTGTCTACATTCATCCAAATAAAAGATCCAATTAACAATTTACATCTTCATCATTCCTTCATTGCCTACTGTATAGTTTGAATGTTTGTGCCACCCGCCTAAACTCGTGTTAAAATCTAACTGTCACTGTGACAGTATTCAGATGTGGGACCTTTAAGAGATGATTGGGCCACAAGGGCTCTGCCTTCATAAATGGATTAATGTCACTGCTGCAGGCAGGAACTCATTATAAAAGGGGGAGCTCAGACCCCTTTTAGTCTCTGTCTCTTGCCCCCTCTTTGCTCTTTCACTTTCCACCATGGGGTGACACAGCAAGAAGGCCCTTGTCAGATGTTGGCCCCTTGATTTTGGACTACCCAGCCTCAAGAACTGAGAAAATAAACTTCTATTCTTTATAAATTATCCAGTCTCTGTCTTTTATTGTAGCAGCACAAAACACACTGAGACACCTACTCACTTAAGCCCCCAAATATACTTGGTACTATGCTTGGCAATGGACAAAGCCTTGCGCCTCTAAGAACTCAAAATTCCCTGTAATTTTACCTTAGAACCTATAGAGGAAGTCATTAATTCTTTCAAGCTCCAAAGGATTCCTTTAAGGTTATGTAAACAAGAATTTACTAAAATGCTGCAGGTAGAGAGCAGATGGAATAAAGGAACTTCTCGAGGTGCCATGTTGGCCATTTAGGACTGAGGCAGACTTGGGCTATGCACCTAATTAAGTCACCTCTCCTCACAGGATCCCATGGTGTTTCTGTCCCCATCTGAGCTCCTCTTAGCATTCATGTCAGCACAGGAGAGATATATTTGTTACACTGATGAGTCACTGTGGGGGAGAACTGGCAGTCTGGCAGCAGTGGAAGCCAATACACCTGACAGTTACACCAATTCTCTCCAAAGACAGATGCAGTTTGGTGGCAGACAGTGGGGGAATGATTCATGTTCTAATTGCTACTAAATTACACAGGAGTCTCCAAACAGGGTCTCATTTGGACTGAGAAATAGTTTTTGAGAGAAATCCATCAGAAGCACAAACTGCTACAAGGTCTTTTGCTTGTTAAAGAGAGAATGGGTGATTGTCTTGCTTCTTTCTGCAAGAAGGGTGAGATCTGAGGTGTGGAAACTAGTTTCAGACATGAACCTAAGATATGAATCTGCATCCTGATATTGATGCAAATACTCCAAGTCTAATTGAATTATGGTAAGATCAAAAGAATTACTACAACGTGAATTTGTAAGACAAATTAAAAACATTAAAAAATAAATATGCAACATAGAATTTTTGGTGATTAGAAGTCAGGGTGTGTTAAACTGAGAAACCCCAGAGTGCCACAACTCAGGATAATGGGCTAACCATTAGATTAACATTATAAAGCTGAAGTGTAATGGTAGAGGCCCCTCACATTGCATTCCTCTTCCCCAACCTCACTTGCCCCTCTTCCTAGGGCCCAGTACTCTAGGGCCCCAAACAGATTGCTCTATCCCATCTGTATCTCAGCAAAGCCCCCACAGAACTACCCGACAAAATCCTCAAACAAAAACTTCCCTCTTCTTTGTCATTCTTGCTGGGCCAGACTTGGAGGCCTCTCAGCTGTCAATCAGAGAGGACGGAGACACATCTGTGACCCATCTTTATTATCACTCTGACCTAAGGAATATTCACATTGGCAGGAATTCCAGACTGCCGATACCACCACCAAGGTAGGTCATTGTATATACACAGCTCTGAGATGCAGATAAAATCCGAGCTGCAGATAAACCCTTGGCCCATGCCTTTATAGGGTGGCTACTTGCAAAGATTTTCAGGCTAGGCATAGGGAACCTTAAAGAGACTATACTTGAGAGATAGCTAAATGCCTGGGGTAACCTCAGATATTGTGAATAGGTGCTGTGCTAAGTGGCCCTCAAGCCTGGCCCCTTGTCTTCTGGAAGAGTACTGAGATGTAAATGGAAATGCTGCTCTGAATCCAGACAGCCCCAGTCCTAGTCCCCAGATCCCATTCTATAGGAGTTTAAAACCCCAGTTCACGCAGCCACAGAGTAAGAGGCCGCAGGTGGCAAAGGCACCATTCTCTTCCCCACCCCGAGACCCTGCGATACCTTCGTTTTCCTCCAGCTTTCGGATGTGGCGCAGGAGAGGCTGCAGGTTCATGTAGAGGCGGTGGCTGTTGCTCAGAAGTTGCAGGAGGTGTCTGGAGCGCATGGGGCACCCGGTGTAGTATATGAGCTTCCTGGCCGAGGGCAAACCATCTGGCAAAATCTCAAATTTCTTACCCTGTGGAGGGAAAGCATGAATCAAATTCAGGAAGAAAAATCTCTGATTTGACAAGGTCCCCTTTGTTTTTTATTTACTAAAGGTTAACTATAGATTCAGAAACAGATGTATAAAGCTCCATTTAAAATTCTCTGAAGGATAAGTTATTATTTTCCCTTTCAAAAATGTCACAGGACTGAGGATTACTAAAAATTTAAGGGGAAAATGCTTCAGGGAAGCATCTAGCCAGGGTCCCGGTAAACACTATGTAAGATAGCTGAGAAATCTTTGGATTCTCTGGCTGGTCAGGCTATTTCTACAATGGAGAAGAAGGGCACCCTCAGATGGAATCCCAACACCCTAACTCAGCAAACAAGATGACAAATTCTAGAAGAGATGAATGCATTGAAATATTTATTGAATACTTACTATGTACCAAACACTGTGCTAGGCACTGAAAAAATAACAGTGAATGAGACAGATAAGGTTCCTACCCTCATGGAGCTACATCACAGTGGAAGAGATGGTAAATAAACACATAAAATAATTACAATTTATGATAATTCTGGGAAAGGAAATAAATACAGTAAACAATACAGGATATCTATTTAGGTTTTAGAAAAATGGAGAACTTCTCTAGCTGGACAAAAGGGGAAGCTGGCAGTTGGAGGGATGAGGTGGGAAAGGGAAAGGGCAGCCACCAGCAGAGAGAGAAGGAATCTCATTCTTTAAGTCTAGGATCTCTAACATAAAGTCCTAAGTCGAGGGTGAGAGTTTGGCAAAGTTCCTTACAGTTATGAGATATAACAAACTCCTTTAACTTTTCTAATAATGAATAAGGCAACAGAATTACAAAAAGGAATATTTCAGATAAAATGATTCTCAGCCAGAGGGCAAAGTAAAGCAGGGAGAGAGGCAAATTCTAACTACACTCTTTAAACTTGGTACAAAGCAATATGGATTTGTGTAACCTAGATAGGGATGGGATGTTTTTTTAACCTCTGAGTTTTTCATTTTAAAGGAACCACCAGTGGATCCCGATGCTGAAATAGTAATTATGACAATTATGGAGCACCAAGCACATATTAACTCATTTAATCTTCACAACAGGTCTATGAGGGAGTACTAATTATCCCATCTTAGAATGAAACCCAATGCACAGAGAGGTCACAGAACTTGCTCAAGGTACCATGGCTAGGCAGGGCTAGGTCAGTTGCAAGAAAAATCATTTGGGAAACTTGTCAAAATAGATTCCTGGTTTCTATCCCAGACCCACTGTGCCAAAAATCTCTTGGGGGCCGGGCATGGTGGCTCATGCCTATAATCCTAGCACTCTGGAAGGCCAAGGTAGGCAGATCGCTCAAGGTCAGGAGTTCGAAACCAGCCTGAGCAAGAGCGAGACCCCATCTCTACTAAAAATAGAAAGAAATTAATTGGCCAACTAAAAATGCATAGGAAAATCTTAGCCAGGCATGGTGGTGCATGCCTGTAGTCCCAGCTACTCGGGAGGCTGAGGCAGAAGGATTACTTGAGCCCAGGAGTTTGAGGTTGCTGTGAGCGAGGCTGACGCCACGGCACTCACTCTAGCCTGGGCAACAAAGCGAGACTCTGTCTCAAAAAAAAAAAAAAACAACTCTTGGGAGAGGGAAGATGAACCCCAGAAATCTGTATCTTTAATAAGTTCTTCAGATAAGACTGAGGCACAACTATTATAGATTCAGTAACCACTAAATCCAGGACCCTAAAAGAACTCAATTTCATAAATGCACTTTATTTCAAACAGTTCAAATCCTTCACAAAGAGCTTAAACAAGAAAGAGTCAGTGAGGAGGAGGCTGGCTAAATCCTATTTAATGTATGAGTAAGTGAAATCAGATTGAACTGTGCCCAAATAATTAAAGTAATGTGAAATCAGAAACAGGTCTTTTTTTGAGGTGATACTCTTGTCAAAAAAAAAAAAAAAGAAACAGGTCTTTTAAAGTAATATGAAATCAGAAACAGGTCTTTTGACTCACAGGGCAGTGTGGGGTCAGTGCCCACATTCTACTTGCAATATAGTGCTTTTTTTATACAGGCTATCTTTCTTACGGGAGAGCAACACACGTCTATATAAATCCTTATCTTCCTCCTTTCTTTGTGTATTTTTTCCAATTATTTCTGAACAAAGAATAATTACATATTTTAATGACCACTAGATGTGCACATTAATCATAATTCTTCAAATTCTATCTAAAAATGAATATAGCTGGCAAAATAGAGAAATAGCTGGGAAAAATTTGCTTTAATAAAAGAAAGTGTATCATTTTCAATATTGTAAAAATAAAAATACTTTTCCTGTTAAGAATTGTAGACCTTTTTTTAAAAGATGAGTTTTAAATAGTCGGATATTAATAGAAACATCTTTTTATGTAACTCTATTCTTTGCTCAAAAGAAGAGAACTGGCCAACCTCCATACTAAGAATAATTTACCCTGTGATTATGGCTTTCTGTTTTCCAATCCCTCTGCTGTAGGCTTTTTTATGATAATTCTATTTAATGAACTCATCTTGAACCTTTCTCACCACATTTCTTCTGCAACTAGAATAATGTAGGGTAGTATGGTAGGGACCAGACACAAAATTAAAATTAGTAATTTCTTTTGCTGTAAGATTCTTTGATTTCAAGTTCACTACTGATAAGAGTACCAAGAATTATAACATATGCATAAGAATGTAAGAAGGCAAATCATCTTCAGCTTCAACTTTTTAAAAATAACTTTTGTGCCTGAGATAATATTGTTTAAAAACAAAACAAAAGACAAAAAATAATAAAATCCACAAAAACAAATGACTGAAGAGATTTTTTTTTAAAAAAGTAGGTTATTTTAAACTTACCACAAACACCAACTTTCCAACATTTGTCCAGGGGAAATCATAAAGTAATTGTTTCTCTTCATCTATATTCTGCGGAAGGAATTAAAATGCATATAGAGTTAATGGGGAAAATGACAGATAATCTAAAATGGCTCTAATTTCTCTCCCAGAAAACTCAAATACAGTAATTAAAATCTGAAAGAGGTCCCCAACTCTCTTTGGAAAAGTGCAGATAGTGATTAAAAAGATTAGTGATATAAGTCTGTAGCTTTTGGTGCCTGCGTGACTGCATGAACTGGCTCTTTAGTGCAACCTTTTCCCTTTTGGCCCATCCCCGAATTTAAATAAAAAGCCCCAAAGACTCAGGCGTTCAAGAGATGAGATAAGGCACTCAGACTTTCATAACTGGAAAATTTGCCTATATCAAAGATAAGACATCTTTATATTTTCTTATGTCTTGCATAAAGAGTTATTTTCTCTCCCCTGTTGATGGCTGTAGGATAACACCATACCACCTATTAAAGGGTGACAGTTATTACTTATTTGAGGAATAAGTTTTATCAGAAAAGTGTAATGGAAATTAAAACGTCTGGCCAGGCACCATACTAAAATGTCATTTTTCTTTCCACAGTTATAAATGCTCCAGAGGATAAAAGAAAACATTTAAAAATCAATGACCAAGAGAAATGTTTAGATATTAATGATCTGTTAGTGATCTGTTAGTGATGAACCTGGTCTAATCTTTGGCTTGTTGTTTTTTGTTACTGAGGACTTAGTACTGTCAAGGATCAGGTTAAGTCACTTTATCCATCCTATCATCCACATCTGTTCAGATAAGTAGGAAATGACTAGTCAATGGCTGAAAATGAACCACTGAACCTATGGCAGGACCACACAGGTACACTGTAAATGCAAGACATGGTCAATAGCATTTGACACTTATATCTCATTTACCAACCTGAAAAATCTGTATTCCTCTCATGGTCAATCCAAGGGTCAGGGAAGCTTCAATTTCCCTTTTATCCTGTAGGAATAAGATTTTATGAAAAAATACATTTTCTTCTACAGTGGATAACTCAGCACCAAAGAAACATAGAAATTTCAGGATTAGAAAGTTTTTGACTTAAAATAACTGCTCAAGTCTTTCCACATCCCTAGTTTCTTATAAGATTTAAGAAAAATCATGGGCACATATTAAATCGATAATGGTGTATTCTATACTTTTTAAATCTCTGAGATCTCAAAGTTTAGTGTTTTCACTATAATACGCAATTTCATATCTGACAATATTCTAAATATTTGTGTTACTGAGAACTCTAGTAAACAAGAATATTTTTGCAGTTTTTGTATCATTTAATTTTTTTTAAACCTTCCATCTTATGCTTACTCTTTTCTCAGATATTAGAATTTTAGTCAAATGCAGTAGTTATATTTTGAAATGAATCAAATTTTGTATTTTTAAAACTGGGCAAATCTCCCAGCCCTGAAGCCAAAATTAGAGGCAAGATGATTAAATATTTAAGACTCTCTCATGAGGATAAATAATAAAGTTGTAAAAAGCTTTACATTTGGTTCATTTGGAAATACTTATTTTTAAGAAGTTTCATTATCACTTGCCAATATGATACACATTCTACCAGCTAAACCATAAACTGCAAAAAATAAACTACAACATGCATAAGTAAAAAAAATTCTACAATTAAAAATGTACCCTAATATTTGGTCACATCTTTTAAGTGCTCATAATGTAATAAGTGTATATAAGGTATGAAGTTCAGAAAAGAAGATAAATAAAATTGCAAAAGTATTTTCATTATGAGATTTCTCAACAAAAATAAATGGATATGTGCATATCTTTATTGAGTTTAGTGCCAGTTTTCCCATGAATATGGGAAGAAATAATTTTAGAATATCCTCAGCTGGCATAGTAAAGAGAAAACAGCCTATTTTCACTATTTAGACTATTTCTTTCCAACTAGTATATTTTTACATCAAGGAAGTATAAGGTTTAAAAGGAGAAACCAATCCATCACTATATGTGTTTAGGCCAATTTCCCTTTCAAGGCTGTACCGACTGCTTTCTGAAATAAGACTGTGCTCATAAAAATGCTGGTTGTGTTCACATATGATGTGTGTGTTGGTGGGAAAGGGACAGAAAATAATTTTTTCAGAATATTTCCTGTCTTTTGTCTACCTTATTTCCAGTTTATGAGCAACCTGTAAGTAAAGCAGATTTAATAACTACCACTTGATTTCTCCAAAGAATGAAAACTGCTCATCAGGTAACAATATCTATTCTCCCATTTAATTAAGTTACATTTTTATTAAATATCTTGTTTTAAGCAGAAAAGAGTCATTTTCTATGTAATTTAGAAATACCACACTTTAAGCAGATTTGAAAATTAATTTTTACATGAAAGGCAAATTGGGGACATCTACTTCACCAAAAGATTTTATTTCTTTTTTCTTTTTCAATAATTTTTATTTCAAAATATTAGAGGGTACAAGTGTTGTTACATAGATGAATTGTATAATGCTGAAGTCAATGCTTTTGGTGTCCTGTCACCAGAAGAGTACACATTGTACTCGATAGGTGAGATTTTATATCCCTCACCCCCCCCCACCTCTTCTTAGTTTCTAAAGTTCATTACACCACTTAAAGGCCATGTGTACTGATTGTTTAGCTCCCACTTATTAATGAGAACATGTAGTGTTTGATTTTTATTTCTTAACAGGATTTGTTAAAATACCAAGACTCCCGGCAAATAAGGCAAGAAGCAATTAATATTTACTAAGCACTCGCTAATGTTCCAGGTATTTCACCCTTGTTATTTCAAATTCATTATCTCATTGAATCCTCCCAACCTTGTGAAGTATATTATATCACTCCCACCTAATAGACGGCTCAGGATTATACTTGTAGTTGCCTAGGACACCAGCAACAGTGAGTAGTGACATACAGTTTCTAATTGATACCTGATTCTAAGGCCACAGTCTTTCCAATATATCATTCGTACTTTTAATAAATTTTAAGACATAAACTGTCAAAAATGTAATTTTTTTTGCCTTTTCTCATGTAAATTGAGTATCACAAATGAAATCTCTTAAGGGAGGGAAAATAAACCCACAGCTCAGTCCTTTAGGAATTGAGCCAGAGGGACCTTATGAAACTTAATTATGCCTTTCAAGAATGGTGGGGCATTAACAACGCATCTCTTGGGCATGGAAGAGAGACAGAAAAACCATCAGTTGGTCCCTTATTAAGTTTTCCGAACCAGCTTAGAAGATTACCAAATGATGTAGCCAAACTAGAGCCCCATCTCCAATGGTTTAATTTTGCTAATCTTACCACAATGGGTATAGAGATAACAAGCACAATACCAACAATGGTAATGCTAATAGTGCCATCATGCTTAACCTGTGCTGAATTGTTTTGAGGACTTTTTATCCATTAATTCCTTTAACCTTCAGTGATCCTAAGAGGTAGGTATATTACTGTCCCCATTTAACTATGGAGAAACTGAAGCACAGAAAGGTTAAATAACTTGCATAAGGTCACACAGTAAGAAACCAAGCTGGGATTCAATCCCAGGTAGGTAGGCCTAACTGACCACGCTCTTAACCACTTCATCCCATTTAGTTTGAGAATCTACCTTTGAATACCGACATGGGCATTCAGGAGTTTTTTGCCAACAAAGTGTTATTTGTGGAAAAGGGAAGGGGTACGGAGGAGGAAGGGAAGAGACGACAAGATGGTAAACAGTAGTCTCAGTGATTCCCTGCAGAGATGGCCTCAGTTGTTATTTGGATGCGTGACTTCTGCCCCAGGATGGAAAAATGGGGCTGTAGATGCACAGGACACAAAGGAAGGTAACTTCAGAGTATGGGAAGCATGGAGTACGGTGGCTTAAGCACACAGGCTTTGTTACGAAGAAGGCCTGGACTGAATCCTAGGCCAGCCACTTAGTTTCGTGATCTTAGGTGAACTATTCAATCTCCTTAAGCCTCAGTTTCCTGCTCTATAAAATGAAGATTACAGTTCCTTTCTTATAGAGTTGTAAGGATTAAAAAGGAAAAAAAAAGAATGAAGTGTGCCTAATAAACACCGTACTCCATAAACATTAGCTGTTGTGGTGATGGTCTTATAATTAATGGATACAATATAGATGTGGCTTCATTTTGAGGAATATTAATTATTGATCAAACAAGTTGCAAATGTTACTCCTCAAAGCAGAAAAGTAGTTTTGGGGTTAAGAAAAATAACTATACCATAATCACTGAAAAGCTGGACTCACAATTTGCAGCCATTTGTCATCTCATTATTAGAACCATTAAAAAAACACTCTATCCTCCTTCCAGGACAGAGAAAAAGCACCACTGCCTCCAAGACTGACCTATGATATTAATAACAAATGGCAGTTCGAATTAAACTCTTTTAAAAGCCTTTTAAAAAATAAAATAATTTTCAATAGAATTTTTTCTTCTCAGAAGCTGTAGACAGACTTACTGCAGTTTTGTACCTTATACAATCTGTAGTAATGAACGGCGACGTCATCCAGTCGGACGGCCTCTTTGATATATTTAAGACGGGCCTCGGAAGCTGTCAGTGCAAACTGATCTTTGTGCATGTTTGGAATGTGCTTCAGGATGTAGTCCTTCCCCCTCTTGGAAACAACCTGTTGGGATACAAGGGGTGTGTAATGCAACATTTGTTGGAGGGATGTAAGTACTATTCCCACCCCCAAAATGATGAAAGGAAGAGAATCTAAAATAGGACATACAAACTGGCTGATCTCCATTAGAAAATTCCCACTTTTATTCTGTTTTCACCATCTGTTATGTTCTAGGTTGAATCAGCTAATACTAAAAGGTACAAAGTCAATTTAGCTGTGTAGTACTGCATATCTAAGACGACAAAAATCACAAAAAATAGGAAAAATAGGTTCTCTTGGCTTTAAAGTCACCAATAAAGAAAACATGGAAACTTGTATAATTTCATACACATCATTGTTTATATTTGAAAAAGTACTGGTACCATGAAATACTTCTACTATAGGCACATCTTAAGGTTCTGGATCTACTTAACTCTGAAAGTTATAGCCACAGAGTGGGAGGTACTAAATGTTAGTCACAGGAGGCAGGGGACTAGAAGAAATTCTCTGACATTCTTGGTTCTTGCATAAGAAGCTGATATGAACACTCTATTAGAATACTAATGAGAAAACATTTTCATTCAAACATTCATTGTCATTTACTGTGGCTTAGGTTTTTATCAGACAGTAGTCTCAGCTTTTAGATGTGAAAAATACATAGTATCTAGCAGCTACAGGCATTGATTAAAGTCTTAGTTGATTTCATGAGGACTAATTTAAAATATGGAAAGAATTAGGCAATGCAAGCAAAAAGAGTACTGCTTAAAATGATCGGAATAAAAAAATTAGAGAGTGTTTAGTTTTAAAATGTCTTTATAGATATTGACAGTTGGTTTTTTCCTATTGAATATTTTCCAGGGAATTAAACATGATGAATTATTGGTCAATTATCAAGTTCTGCCAAGAACTGTAAGTTACAGATTTTTTTCCCCCTTGATTCCTTTTACATGGTGATCATCTTTTTATTTATTTATTTATTATTTTTTGAGACAGAGTCTCACTTTGTTGCCCAGGCTAGAGTGAGTGCCATGGCGTCAGCCTAGCTCACAGCAACCTCAAACTCCTGGGCTCAAGCGATCCGTCTGCCTCAGCCTCCCAAGTAGCTGGGACTACAGGCATCTGCCACCATGCCCAGATAATTTTTTGTATATATATTTTTAGTTGGTCAATTAATTTCTATTTTTAGTAGAGATGGGGTCTTGCTCAGGCTGGTTTTGAACTCCTGACCTCGAGCGATCCGCCTGCCTTGGCCTCCCAGAGTGCTAGGATTACAGGCGTGAGCCACCATGCCTGGCCTCATGGTGATCATCTAAATCAGTACTAGTCAACCTTTTTTCAGGTCAAAAACACATTGAAAAATAATATTTGTAAGGACACTGAAGTAGATGGTTTTGGTGATTCCAAGGGTGGAAGAAACTAGTATCTCAGCACAGTGGACACCATGGGATACTCACTGGGAAGTTATGATTTAAATTACCAAGATTCAATGAGTACCTGATGACAACTACAGAATGTATACATGCTACAGACAGTAATAGCTTGACACATATTGTGGTTTCTCTTAAGCACTGTAAGTCAGTCAACAAAAACTTAAAGAGCACCTCAATGTGAAATGGTGATGAAACAGAAAAGGTTAAGTTTATGCCTGTCCTTTAGAGCATATTACTGGGGGCAAGAGATAAGCAGATCATTTGAAATAAGATGTAAGACACTTATGTCTAGGGTTTTCTTGATCCCAGAGGAGGGGCACTGAACACCTAGATGGTCTGCCTAGAAAAAACCACAACTGAGCTGAGTCTTAGAGAATGGGTAAGAGTTGGCCAGGTGAAATGGGGAGTGGGGTCTTGCTGGTTAAAGGAACTGCAAGAACAAAGGCCCAGAAGGGTGCAGACATATCAATTGCTGGACATTGCCAGAGCATAAAGTTCAAAGTGCAGGACAACCAGACAGGAAGCTAGAAAGGCTGGTGGTGACTGTGTCTTGGTGAGTTTCTAGGTTATGCCTGGGAGCCAAGCTTCACTCCACAGGTGAAAGGGGAGCCCCTGAAGGATTAAATCAGAAGCAAAATCATCTCATCTGCAAGCTGCAGAGTAAAGACTGAAGCAGGGACAAGCTTCTGCAATAGTGTTGCTGAGAGCTGGAACCTGGGAAACAGCAGGGCCATGATGGGGAACGCACACAACGAGGACTGAGGAAAGCTAACAGCAACAAACATGCGATGGAACTGTATTTCTTCGGCTGGGTGGTGGGTAATCAAGTACGTATATTAAAGGGTGCTGTAGCCAACTGGATGGGTCAGGGAGGAGGAATGGTGATAAGGTAGACTTCTCCTTAGGACTCTTAAGGACTCAGAGGGAGGAACACACAGAATTGCGGTAGGAAGATGATGAATTTGATTTAGGACATTCTGGGGTTGAAGTGCCTATGGATAAATAGCTACCTCAGGCATACAGGGGAGAGAAACAGATGTGGGAGTTGCCTCCATGTGGGCGGTGGTTAAAAGCATTAATATGGATGAGATCTCTCAGGAGGTGAGTGGTTAGGAGTCAAGTGCAGCAGTGAGAGTCGGTGAAGAATCCACTGCATCTGTCAACACAGAGCTCACTGGTGAGCCGAGGGCAGCACAAGTGGACTGGGTGGGGAAAGGAGGCAGGTGGGGGTGGCTTAAGGAATTCACGTGGGAGGAAAAGAAGCTGAAAAATCCAATATACACGACCTTTCAAGAGGCTTGACTGAGAAGTTTTTTCCCCAGGATGGGTGGGTGAGACGTGGAGGAGGGGTGGGAACAGACATCAGGTGGGGTGGGGAAAGGGTAGTTGAGACAGTTTGTGCTGGGATAACCTCCGATCTCTTGCCAAAATACAGCGGTGGCGCCTCTCCTGGGAGTGAAGGGCATGGAGGCTGGAGCAAGCAACAAGTTGACTTGTATTTGTTTTCTCAGCCCAGGGAACCCCGTGAACGAGCTTTACCTTTAAAGAGTAATGTTTTTTTCCCTTCAAAGGAGGAAAAGGCTGCTCCAGGAAAAGAACATAAGATGCTCAAAGTCATGTAAATGCCAAAAGGAGGCTGGCAAATTCCAAGCCCACCCTCCCCCATATTTAGGATGGACAGCAATCCCCTTCCCCATGAACTGTAAGCAGACCGAGGGCATGAAGACATCTCGTGTACCACGCTCTCACATGTTGAACTTGTATTTGGGCATCATGAAGAGTCTGACTGGCCATAAACATCTGGTTCCCATGTCTTGAAGCAGCATGAGTAGCAGCACAATGAACTAGAAATGTGCTAGAGAAAACACTCTTTAGAATTTGAAAACAGTGCCTACCCAAGATGGGAAATAAACCTCCGGCTCAAAGTATTTTCCAGAGTGCTTTTTCCTTTTGAAGTCCCCAAGCTCAGCCTGCAGGGCGAAGGCTGCCAGCAGGAAGTAGGCCTCCTCTCGGAGCACACACTGAGAATGAAGAACTTGTTTTCTCAGGTGCCAGTAATAATAGAATCTTGCTGCTCTGTCACTAGGAAAATAAAAGAAAACAGAACATTGATGGAACAATCCAATGGCATGTAAACAGACCCAAATCCTGCTCTCGATCTGGTGACAGGAGCCCGCCTGTCTCTGCTCCTCCTCCCACCATGAAGAGGGGGAGGCTGTGGCCAATACTTGGTCACCGCCTCTGCCTCACTGAGGTCGCAGGGGCTCAGAACTCCATGTCACACTGACTACCCAGACAACAAAAATAACATTTCCTAAGGCTTATAACATTTGGTTCATTCAGAGGGGGAAAACGTCTGAAACATTCCACTCTAATATGGTAAATATTTCACTGGACAAGCATCAGAACAGAAGCTAGACACTGGCTGTCTGTGGTAATTTTGCCACAGTGACGCTGCACACAACATAAATAAGGACAAATCTGAGGGGCCATCCTGGCTTTAATGTTCTGCTGTTCTTTTTTTGTTTTGCTTTTTTAGCTGAGCATGCTACAAATACTCTAAGACCCTTTCAAAAATGTTTCTGTTTATATACGCTTCTAGAAAAAAAATTTGCTTAACCGTAGTGGTATTTTTTTTTTTTTTTAAATTCACTAAGAGTAAATAAGTGAAAGCTTTCCTTAAATCTGGTTTTTGGTTTTTTATTAAGTGAATGTTACCAAAAAGTGCTTTTATAGGCACATGCCATGATAATCATTATACTCCCCACAAAAGGAAATACTAAAAGTCTGCTCATTACAATCCATTGAGGTCAGAAGTAAATACTGTTCCCATTAAATACACTGAGTAGGAAGTGCTGACTGGGGAAAACATGGTCAAAGCTCCAAAAAATGTTCACTGGAAAACAGCACGCTTTTGTGATCAATGTAAAAATGTAAGAAAAAAATGTGTGTGTGTATTTTAGTAAGTTTATTTGCCTCCGTATTATTTTAGGTTGAATGTTTACCCTCAGATTCACAGCTAATATCGCTAGCAGATAATAATAAAAACATATGGGTTTAATTTTAACCAAGACCATGTTTAAGTACGAAGAACTTAAAAATAAGGCATTTATGTAATTTTTCCCCTTGAGACAGAGTACTTTTCAAAGCACTTTTTACAATGCTGACCACACATTGATTGGACAGGTGCATCCCTGAGGAAAAAGGCAGAAGTATAAGGATCGATTAAACATTCATTAACCCCAGGGGGCTGATTAACTGCTAATTACTATATGTTCCTTCTTTCCAGGGCATTCCACATGTACTAGGTAAACTGAATAAAAAAATTATATATATAAATATATACATCACAAGCTAATTATACATATAGCTCACTAGCCAAACGTATCTTTGCTTCTTTCACATGGAGTTTCTCAAAGTTTAAAAATATGTAAGTAAAACAGAGTTCACATTTCTAGTATTTTCTATAGGCCAAAAAAATTTCTGAAATTTCAGTCCAGCACTGAATCTTCCTTTACAAACTGAGCTTCTGAAATGGTAAATGCTGAATTTGTATCATGAGCAATTATATATTAATAGTATTGTTCATATACCCACCTCCAGAAAAAGAATCAATTACCTGCCCTTGTCAAACTGTATCTAAGATTCTCACAGGATAGCTCCATTGGGCCTTATCTTAGCTTTAAAGGTACTGCCAAGAATGGAAGACCCCAAAAATGTGAAAAACAGGCTCTATAAACACCCATGCACTTTTCCAGGAGAGTTCCTGTCCTTGCCCCAAACTCCACTCCACCACAGGAAAAGAATTCAGTCCTTTAACCAATCTCTCCACTCTTCACAAAAGTGTCAGCTTCTTCTTGAAATAAATATCTTTCAGGAGACTGATTTGTTTATGAAAATGAAGAGTATAGAAAATGTGAGCCAGTGATATTAACATTTTCATTAACAGTCTAACATTATCATTCATTCATTCAACAAGTATTTATTGAGTGCCTAATGTTTCTCTGTTTTATGGGCTAAGGATACATGAGTGTGCAAAAAGATTTTAAAAAAATCACTGCTCTTATGGAGTTTATATTCTAACAGGTGGTGACAAACAATAAACACAAGTAACTTATTTGGCATGTTTAAAGAAGTCCTATGGGAAAATAATGGTTTAGAATCTCTCCCTGTCCTCATACCTGATCAATCTGCCATTTTCCACGTAGTACTGCACACGGAAATGGATGATCATAGGAGGCCCAAACTGATCAATACCCTAAAACAAAGACACACATAAAAATCAAGCTATTTCTAGTTACTTCAAAAATGGGTTTCAAAAGCAACCAAAATACCATTATTTGCAGGATACTTTTTAAACAATGAAAGGTTTTATCTACTTGTAGTGAGTGAGGGTTACAGTGGGAAGAGACTTGTCCCATCTGCATGTCAGGTTCATGTAAAATGAGGAAGTTATAAAGCAAAACAGGGCACCATCCCTCTACCTGATTCTCATTCACTGTAATGCCAATGACAACATAAGGGAAGATAAAAATAAATGCCAGTGGAAATTTCTAGCTGAGATCCAGCTCCTTGTACAGCTCTGTCCCCTGTGGTGACCATTTGCTCCTTATTATAAATGTTCTCTTGTTCCTCTGACATTCCACATACCAAATTCTATTATACTATGTTGTTTATTTATTTAGACATTCATGTTCTTTACTTTGTAGTTGTCTTTGAAGTAGGCTTCTAGTTTATTCTAAGAATTCTTAAATACAAATTGGAGAATCTAGGATTATTCTTCCTAACTTATGAGGGTGATCCCGGAAACACTAGGTTAATTCCTTATGAATGGTCTTCCAGTAAATGGAACTGATATTTACTAAATAAAGGCATCAGTACAAGAACAAAACATTGTTACAAAATAACAAATGTAAGTATATTAAAAAGGGATTTAAAAATTACTAATAACTTTTAGAACATTGGTTTTGACAACTAGCATAGCCATAGGAGAGGGGCAAATAATTTTTTCATGCTTTTCACTTCAAAGTATTATCCCGAGATTACGAAAAAGTTATTACACATTATTTAACATACATATAGAATATATTGTTATATGCTATAAGCTATTAGTACTTGATTACTGTGACATTTTAGAACTTATAATTCATTTCCTATTCCCATTCTCTACGGTATAAAGTATTGCTTGAGTTATTTTCCTAATGTATAACAGCAAAATTAAACAATTTTAAAAAATCAAAATAATTTTGCTCATAAATATAATCTCACCCAAGTGACTTCGTATTGTCGTACCTTGCTGGCCTCTTTCTTCCATTCTTTTGGGCAATATTTATAAAGCTTTTGAGACAACTCCATATATACATGTTCATTATCTGCACATTAAAAAAGGAGACAGAATGATAAAGAAAAGAAAGATTTTACAAGAATATACAAATAAACAATTTTTTTTTAAAGTCTCAAGATTTGTGAATGTACTCTGAATTCAAATACTACCAAAAAAACTCATTAAGACCCTAAAAGATAAAAGGTCCTGTAGGGTAGACAGTAATGAGATTTTTTTTTTCTTGAGATGAGGGTCTCACCATGTCACCCAGCATGGCCTCGAATTCCTGACTCAAACAATCCTCCCATCTCAGCCTCCTAAGTAGCTGAGATTACAAGTGCATGCCACTTATGCCTGGCCAGTAATGAGATACTTTATGAATTATTTTGCTTTTGTAATACAGAGTACATACTATTAAATACATCTAAAAGAAATGTTAGTTTCCAACTCCTGCTTTTTCTTAGTTTCTAGGGTCCTTAAACATATAGTCTAACTTTCAACTCTCTGGGTATCAGTCTTAGAAAAACATGCTTTTAGTTAGCTCATAGAAGACTGTTCTCATATGTGCAAAATTGTGAAACAGGGTAGAAACACCAACTTAATTGCTATTTAAAAAATTAGAAAACATTCATGATATCAGCCCAGTTCCAAGTGAGATGAAGCCTGACCCACACACTTTGTGAAGAATAATCTTTAAAACTATTTCTTCTTCTTCTTTCCCACACATCAAAACACAGCATGACAAAATGATAAACTATTACTCACACTGACTTTGGGATTGATCTCATGGAAAGAGAAGAATCTTATGAAAAACAAGCATGAATGCCAAAAAATCCCTTCGAGGGGATGATGTTCTTAAGGTGCACAGAAAATAAGACTGCTAAAAACCTATGTAAAAATGATCTAAACATGAAAACGAGCTGGCAAAAAACAAACATTTTCAGATTTCCCAAAAAGGACCTTTTAAGAGAGACATATTTCACAAGAGAAGCCTTAAGTATTTCTATCTTGTACAAAGTTTTAAATCTTTTTTTAAAAAATGTATTCCTTTTTCTCTAACCATCAGTAAGGGGACATCCTCACAGAAAGCTCTGCATAAAAACGTACTCATTCTGGAAGGGAAGTGTGTCTCTTCAACCACTCCAAGGATAAACATACTTTGTTACATGGTGACTCCTAGCTAAATACTGGGATTTGTCTGGAAAAATGCCATTAGAGAATAGGAAGGGTAAAGCTACTCTCTGGCTATAAGTCAACCAATTTCAATGAAAGGGATAAGGAAGAGATCCCAGAACAAAAAAATGGGGGGAATGCTACTTAAATCCAGTTATCAGATCAACGAACACTATCCCATCTCTCATATTACAGGTTAAACATGAAATGGACAAGACCAGACAATCTTCCTGTTGAAACTGATTTGTGTTTGGCTTGAGTTCCCGTCTGAAGAAGCAACGTAAAGAATTGAGACTGTTCACCACAATAGCACATCTGTATTTTTAAACTACCACTGTATCTCTACTATAATTTGACCAGAGCTTTATACCTTAAGAATTCTGAAGCACACATCAATTCTATAAAGCCAGTGGAGCAATAATTTCTATTTAACATGTGGGGAAAAAAAAACAAACCTGACATTGACAGAAGTCAAATGCTGTGTCCAAAGCCACACTGCTAGTTAGTGGTAGAACCAGAATTTAGAACCAGGTCATCTGATTCCTGTTCTAATGTTCTTTCACCATACTACAATCTCTTTTTTGAAAAGGATATCTGAGCTCTTATTTTGAAACCTAAGTAAACTGGTTTTATTGAACTGACTTGTTGAACAACAAAGATCAACAGTTTGGCTATAGCTGTAGTAAGAAGAATTATCTTTGAGCATAGAGTAATGAGTTACTTAGAATCTTATGGTATCTTATTGCTCCTAGACTCTTCCTTGATAGAACGACTGAGATATGTACTAACACTAGGATGGAGCTTAGCATTTGTGTTTTTATTGCTTTAACTGCTGCAGAAAGAAACTGATGAGCAAATGGCTGATTCAAGAGTCCTGCTAAATGCTCTTTAGCCTCCTCTAAAAAGGCAACTGAAAACAGTTCACATTTTGAAGAAGGGGCCTTGTTTATTAGCTGACCATGATACACCTTCCAACTTGGCAACTGTAAGCATTTTACAATATTGACCAGATCCTCAAAGTATCTTAAGCCTTTAAACCAATTCCAGTAACAAAACAATCCACATTCAAGTATAAAATATAATTAAATACATTTCACAAAAAAATCTTCTTGACACAATGAGCAAAGATATGAAAAGTTTTGGCATAAAAAGACTAAATCAGAGAAATTTAAACAGATGATTTGAAAGAAGGAAGCTTATAAAGAATGGCTGCAGGTAAATCCTAGGAATCTAATTCTTTAACTAAGGTATTATAGGGGAAGAAAGGTCCAATGGAGTCCTTTACTGGAAAATCTTATCCACATAAAGAATACAGAAGAAACTGACCCTATATTTCAAAGTCATGTAGTCTGACTGGAAAAAAAGAGAAGAGGTAAGAGATAAAAAAGGAAAATAAGATTATATTAATAGATCACTTTGTTATACTATACAGTCAATAACAAGAGAACTTGAAAAGAGAAAAGTCAGTTTAATGTTAGCAATTATAATATAAATTAAATTACAAATATATCTAGGATACTTTCCTACTAACTCCAGCTGTTCTGTGAATGCAAGGAAACAAAAATCAAGCTTAGTTCACTAAAACATGAAAACAGCAAACACACAAAATCTAGATTCCTAAAGAGGGATCAATTTTCAAGTTCAAACTATAATAAAAACAAGGCTAAAATCCTAAATCTTACAAGAAATACAGTAGTTGAGATTAAAAAATGAATACTAGACTAAAAATAACTATCAGTTTATGGATATTTTGATAATCACAGTTTTATAACAAGAAGCCAAATTTAAGTTGCAGCTATAAAGGGTCATTTCCTCAGGGATAGTTGGCTATATCCATCAGAGATGGGACTAAGACTTACTTTGTATAACACTGAGTCCAAAGAGGTGACAGTCCTTTAGCCTGAGCAGGTCACAAACCTGGACCAGCAACTGGTGACAAAGGATTTTAACCTGTAGGGGAAAGAAAGCATGACTGAGATAACAATTCAACCAAGTCCACATAGGGAGCCACGGTCAGGCAATTTAAAGCATAAACATATGTCTTGAAAGGACAAGCTGACACCAGCAAAACTGCTGGTTTATCAAAATCACTTTAATGTGTGGTGGTGTTTCAGTAACGATTATCACAATACAAATTTTTACAACATGGTAATAAATTAGCACCAATGCATTCTTTCACGAGACTCATAAATCTTACGATATATGGACAAGGCTCTCAAACCGCAGTACGTGATAAATCAGTATTTCAGAAGGTATGGAGAACACCCTGTTCAGACTACCAAAAGTATTCATTTGACAAGTATCTTTTATTTTTTAAAATCTTTTATTCATTTTTTTAAATTGACTAATGACAATTATATCATGTATAACATGATGTTTTGACATATGTATACACTGTCGAATGGCTACATCAGACTAACATATGCATTTACCTCACATACATATCATTTTTTTTATGGTAAGAACACTTAAAATTTTCTCTCAGCAATTTTCAAGTACATAATACATTGTTATTAACTATAGTCACCGTGTTGCCCAATAGATCTCTTGAACTTACTCCTCTTAACTGAACTTTTGTATCCTATGACTAACATCTCCTCAATCCTCCCACCTCTGGTAACCACCATTCTACTCTCTGCTTCTATGAGTTAGACTTTTTTAGATTCCATATATAAATGAGATCATGTGGTATTGTCTTTCTGTGTCTGGCTTATTTCATGTAACATAATGTCCTCCAGGTTCACCTGTGTTGTTGCAAATGACAGGATTTCCTTCTTTTTTGAGGCTGAATTGTATTCCATTGTGTATATATACCACATTTTCTTTATCCATTAATTCACTGATGGATACTTACATTGATAATATAGCTTGACCATTATGACTAATACTGCAATGAACATGGAAATGCAGATACTTCAACATAATGATTTCATTTCCTTTGGATATAAACCCAGGAGAGGGACTGCTAATCATACTGTAGATCTAGTTTTAATTCTTCAAGGAACTTACATGCTGTTTTCCATAATGGCCGTACTAATTTACATTCCCGCCAACAGTGTACAAGGGTTTCCCTTTTTTCCACATCCTCACTGACACTTGTTCTCTTTGGTTGGTTGGCTGATTTATTTTATTTATTTTTGTGAGACAAGGTCAAGCTATATGCTCAGGCTAGAGTACAGTGGCTCACTATAACATCCAACACCGAGTCTCTCAAACAATCCTCCTGGCTCAGTCTCCCGAATGAGTAGCTGGGACTACAGGCACATGCCACCACGCCTGCCTTATTTTTTAAATTTTTTTATAGGGATGGGGTCTCACTGTGTTGCCCAGGCTAGTCTGGAACTTGTGGCCTCAAGTGATCTTCTTGCCTCAGCCTCCCAAAGTGCTGGGATTACAGGCACAAGTCACCTCTGGACTCTTATCTTTCTGATAGTAGTCATTCTAACAGGTGTGAAGTGATATCTCATGTGGTTTTAATTTACATTTCTCTGATGATTAGTGATGCTGAACATTTTATCTTATTTTTGCTTGTTTTTATTTTTATAGTCTGCTGGTCCCGAACTGCTGGCCTCAAGCAATCCTCCTGCCTCAGCCTCTTGAGTAGCCGGGTGAGCATTTTTTCATATATCTAATTGGCCATTTGTATTTCTTTTTTTGAGGAATGTCTACTTAGGGCAAGTATCTTTTCAAGGAAAGTTTTCCTCTTGACAGTCTATGCAAAATAGCATACACTGTACAATGAATGCCTGCCTAGTTTTTATTTATTTGTTTTAATCAATGACTGTTATTGTCTAATATCTTTTTAGTACCTAAACCATATTCCTTTTCTGAGTCCTAGTATAATTCAACTATAAAACCTTATTAACTTGGAACTCTGGGGATAAGTTACTAGGACAAATCACATGTTTTAGAGAGTCTCTAAAAGATACAATTTTAACGCTTTCTCAAATATTTAATGAAGTGTTGTGCGGCGCAGTAATTCTGCTGAGTCTATCTTGTTGACTTCAGAATCACAAGTTTATTAGAGTTGGCACTGACTTTGAGAAACTACTCAAGTCAATTTCTTCATTTTATAGAAATAGAAAATAAAACTCAGAAAGCTTAAAGTTATGTAGCTAGTAGTGGCAAAGGCAGCAACTCATTTATGTATTAAAACATTTTATATATGTACATTAAAACATATGCAACATGACTGTTTATCATTTTGGCTGTACACATCACATGTAGCATTTTCCCTCTAATTGGAACTTTAGCTTTCAAATCCTTTCTTCAATGATAAGGTTGACAATCAAAGCTTAAATTATTATGAGTTCTAGATTATTTAACTCTGAATCAATGACTTTTTAATCATATCTTAAAATGGAAATTCAGATTAGGAAAATAAAAACATGCTGAGATCTCCTAAAAATTGAAAGTCAGACAATTCAGAACCAGTGATAATTCCAATTACAGTAAGGAAGAATAGGTTTACTACTTTTTTCCACATTCATTATTAAATGGCAACCAACCTGAGCACCTTACCCACTGGAAAGAGAGAAAGATATTTAAGGCCAGAGTAGAACCAAGTCAGTTGCTTAGAAGCACCAGGAACTCAAGCTGGAACAAGTGTCTTATTTTCAGGATAAATAATAGGCACTCAGTAACTGTTTGATGAATGAAAGCCAGATATCTGACTCCCTGTAGGCTCCTTCTCATCTTTGTTCTGTTCCATGACTACACACTACTCCCTGATTTACTGACCAAACCATTTTATCAATGTGCCATTCAGCAATTTAGGAAAAAACGTTATCAATACAAACCCACCACCACCTCTGAGAAAACATACTGCCAGTGGGGAATCAGTATCATCCTTTGTATATAGCTAGCGTGATTCTGCCCACTTGAGATCCTTGATTTCTGTCCTATGGAAGTCCTATGTTATTTCTAACATTGAGTAAAACGACTCTGGATTTTGAGTTCTGTCCTACCACAATTCTATTTTATAAATAATCTTAAAGAAACAATAATAAAGAAAAGGAGAGGCTGAGCACAGTGAGTAGGCTCATGCCTGTAATCCTAGCACTTTGGGAGACCAAGGTGGGAGGACTGCTTGAGACCAGGAGTTCAAGACCACACTGGGCAACATACCCCATCTAAGAAATTTTTAAAAATTAGCCGGGCATGCATGGTGGCGCATGCCTGTAGTTCAGGAGGCTTAGGTGGAAGGATAGCTTAAGCCTAGAAGTTCAAGGCTCCAGTGAGCTATGATGGCACCACTGCATTCCAGCCTGGGTGACAGAGCAAGACTCTGTCTCTAAAGAAAATTTAAAAGTAAAAAAAAAATGAAGAAGAGAAAGTACCAAATGCCATATAAAATTCTTAAGTTGGACTATTATACTACAAATTTGGAACTTAAAATGTCACATTATTTAGAGCACCTTAAAGCTTAGTTTGACTGCATTTAAAAAATGTTGAACACAAAGCAGCCAGGACAAAAATGCAATAAAAAGTTAAAATTCCAAACCATAAACTAAATGTATAGGAAATAAACTATGTTGTAACTCTGTGTGACTGTAGTCTAAATAATACCCTACATTTCCACCATGCACCCCATATAATTATTGTTCCGCTAGTTCAAGCATTTGGAACCTACTGATAAAGCTCTTTAACAACTATCAAGTAAGTACAGTGTACTTGTTTAAAAACTATAATTAAATAAGGCCGTGGCTCTGAAGTCTTACCTGCTGTGAAAAGAAGCTTGAGTTTTCTGTATTTGCATATTATGAGTCATTAAGGCCACATTTTAGCTGATTGTGAAATTTCTCAAGTCCTTTAATCTTTAGGAGCAATGGAAACCTTAAAAAGTGCTATACAGTATGAGGTATTAAGAGTACGAGTTAAAGCTTTATCCAAAAATATACTCTATATGGATCTTTTAGTTTTAAAATAGCATTTGATCCTTCCTGAATGTTAATGGTTATTGTGTAAAAATGTCCAAAATATGCTCTAGAAAAAAAGAATTGTTCACTCTAGCCTTAGTGAAGATGTATATGCTCTTGGACCTAATTTATATTACTTTAAAACTTCATGGCTTTTACATTTACCATGATTTTACTTACAAAATTTTCCAGGTTTCCATAATTAAAATAGCTCCAATTAGTATAACTCATGGGAAATTCAGAATGACCAAAATATTAAATTTGTTCTACATGCAAAAAGACAAACACTCTATTAACTACACTTGTAAGTGATGTAAATAATGATGATGATTATTATTACTAAAAACAACCAACATTTACTTTGTGTTTGCTATGGATCAAGTACTGGTCAAAGGGCTAGGCCACTGACATAATGCCAAAAACACAATCCAGTAAATAGACTTCTGGAGAGTGAAAGACACTGAGTGGTGCTGGTACACAGATCTTTGCCTGTTTGGCTCAAGATTTTAGCATATCTATAGCATCTATTTAGGGGATCTGGTTAAACATAGATGCCTATGTCCTACCTTAGACTTCCTATATCAGCATTTTTAAGGAGTGGGGTCCAACAATCTGCATATTTAGTGAGATCTGTCAAATAATTATGATGCCCATTTAAGTTTCAAAACCACTAATCTATAGGAACAAATAAACTGGCCATCTTCCAGTCTGTTCTCCATAATTTCCTTCCTCTGGTTAGATTCTAGTACAGATTATTTGAAAATTATGTCAGCTTTTAGTATTTTTCACTAAGTCAGATTAGCCTTCCCTTCACTTAACTGTAGCTAGTAGAGTTTTATTCCATATCCTTTATGCGCGCACGCACACACACACACACACACACACGCACGCACGCATGCACGCATATTCCACTGGGTGAAAACACAGAATGGAAGTGAGAGAAGTTTCTTAAGTGCTTATGCTATATGTCCTGGATTATATATAGTTTAAAAATTCAGTGGATATCTTACTATGTATCATATATAAAAGAACTCAAAAACAGCATATTCACATCTATAAGTAGAATTGTTTTAACTTATTTTGCCAGTACCCACACTGAAAGAGATACATTGCCAATTTTTATTTGGTTTTATTTTATTTATTTATTTTTTTTGTTTGGGGAGTGCTACCAGCATGTATTTATTTGGTTTTAAAAACAAAATGCTGCCAAAATAATAGCCTACTGCTCATACATCCAAAAACAACTTCAGGTTCTCTGAGCAAGAATGTAGCTAATTACTAGAAATTCTGCCTAACAGATGATAAAGTTCATCTAGTAGGCAGGCTTGATGCTCAGACAATCCCTATGAGTGAACACGAGGATACATTAGAAAATCAAGAAACTGTGCTGACTGTCAGAATAAAGCCAAAATGATTATGGTAATAAGCAGAATCTTTGTACTATCTAAACTTTTTAATGAAGCTGTTTAAATGTCATATATATCAGTATAACATTTAGAAATACTCTTTTATACAGCAATTGCGTTAAAAAATATAGTAACATATAGGAAAGAACACTAATTCAAGGGATACACTAAAGCAATTTTTTCCCTAATTCCATAAGAATACAATATGTGAAAGAAAGAATACAAAAGTTAATAAAATAGAGAAGGGTCAAAAAATGCTAGTCATGACATCAATTACCATAAGACTGTCTGGCAGTCTCTGCCAAGGCTAAACATGTATGTAGCTTATGATTCACAAATCCACTTTTGGATATTAACCTGGAAATATATAGACATGTGCATACACATAAAATGCTCATGATAGTTTCATTCAAAATAGCCCCAAACTTTAAACAACCCAATATCCATCAACAGTAGATGGCTAAATGAATTGGGCATATTCATACAATGGAATATCACACAACAATGGAAAGAATTACTGTCACATGAAATAGCATAAATGAATTCACAGGACAAATAAATGTTGAGTAAAAGAAGCCAGACACAAAAGAGAACATAACACATAATTTAAGCTACATGAAGCTCACAAACGAATGAAACTACTCAATGGTGATACAGGCTGGAATAGTTGTTACCCTTTGGGTGGAGGTTATTGACTGGGAGGGGTCGTAAACGATCTCTCTGGGGTGCTGGGAACGTTTTACATCTCAAGCTGTGATGGTTACATGAATGTACACGCTTGTAAAAATTCATTGAGCTGCACACTTAAGATGTCTATATTTCAGTACAAATCTCAATGAAAAGTTTAAAAATAGCAAGTGTTTGTTTTTCAATAGTTAACCAAAATTCTCTAATTTTGCCCCAGGCAAGAGATTGTTGAAGGCAGCAGCACATAAGCAATAACACTAGCTTTAGTCCTGTATAGACTACTTCACACCCCAATTCTGCCACATTATTGCGGGTCTCGCTCCATAATGTCTTTATCCTTAACCAAGCCATAACCTGAATGTGGTCACTGGCAAAAACATGATATTTAAACATTTCTAAAATTGGATCTACTCACATTTATGATGATGTTCAGAGATTCATCATTGGGAAGGAAGATGCACACACTCCGGCGGTCTTGCATGACTCTGTTGTTATGGAAGTTCAGTTTGTTCATTGTGTTGTGGGCTCTCCGGTAGTCAGGGCTGGGCTCTGAGTTCTCTGCGATTCCTCAGGTTCCCAGCACTCCAAAGCCAAACTCTCCTCCTCATCACATACCCTACAGGAGAAGTATGTGTTCAGCTACGTAGGTTTCATAGCTGTAAAAAAAAAAAAAAGCCCACAGGGAGGCTCATGAATAAAGGCTGTGAGACTGGTGAGGAGAGCAGAGCACGACTGCTCTTCTGAGCACAGGGACAGCATGTCTCAAAGCCGGGGCTGCCTAGTTTAATACTCGAGAACTCACTGAAATTTATTCTGTGTGACCATTAATACTGTTTTAAAACTTTCACTCACAGGCAGGAATTAAACTCAAAGCCAATGACAGCCTCAAACGTTCAAGGCAGTACTATGCACTACAGGGCTCACGGAAACAGAGGTCTTGCCTCTGAGAAGTTTCCATTCTTAGGAGGGAGATAACAAAAGGTTCTGACAACAAACAAACAAAATGACAAAGACAGCAGCAACAAAATACTCGCTTCTTTCTCTTCCATTACTATCGAGCTAAAATAAATGTCTTGGCTCTTACATTACATTCATCTTCGGGCACTGTGGTCTGGCTTCCACATCCTTCTCTTTACCAATGTGGCTCTGCTAAAGGAAGCCCGGCAGCTCTAGACCCTTAGTAGTATCCGTAGGATATGTTTAACTGATCTCGCTACAATATTTGCCATGGTTGGTAAGCCCTCCTTACAATTTTCTTCTTAATTTTTATGGTGTTGTTCTCTCCTGATTCTCTAACCTGATAAGGCAAACTTAACTTTTCTATTTACTATTTCACCAACCAATTAATACATAGATATAACAAGACTGGGCATATCAAATCATGTTTGCGTGTAAAAAGACTATGGGTTTTGGATACCTCTCATATCTAATTAGTCCTATTAAACATATTAGTTTTATTTTTTAACTTCTTTTTTAATGTAAACAATTGTTCGCAAGTAATAAAAATGTTATCTCCAATTTTCAATAATCACACTTTTTATTTGTTTCATGTCTCATTGCACTGGTGAGACCTTACAGAATTTTAAAGCAGTGGCTATTTCCTACTTTTGATGAGTGTGTCTAGTTTCATATATTGCTAACGGAAGAGTATTCAACCAAGATATGTCAAGACTAGTTGTCTCTCCAACCATTAGTATTTATATTATTCCTTTCCAGATATATCTGTAGGATGTGAAAGACAGTTTCCAGGAATATGGAACTGTTTCACTAGGCAGAATATACATAACCATACAGTTTTCACAGAAAAGCTATTGTCAGTACTCACATAAATCAAAGCATAAATGAGAATCTTGGCCTATTTGCTTCTTAAGGTTAAGTATGTATTTCTCTTATCAGCAGGAAGGGAGAGAATATATTCTTAAATAGATGGCCGAGTAAATATAATCATGTAATTCTTTTTAAAGTATAAATAAAACACCAACCACAAGGAAACTACTCAAAACTAAATAAAGACAAATCATAACCTTATATGTAGTATTTTCTTATTAGGAAGGTGACCAAAAGATTACTTAGGAGTATTCTGCTTCTCTTCTCTTCTTTTTTTTTTTTTGTTTTGTTTTTGTTTTGTCTTGTTTTTGGAGACAGGGTCTCCCTATATTGCCCAGGCTATTCTCAAACTCCTGGCTTCAAATGATTCTCCTGCCTCAGCCTCCCAAGTAGCTGGAACTATAGGTGCGTGCCACCATGCCTGGCTTGCTTTTCATAAAGAATAATTGTTCCACATTAGGTTACAGTTAGCACATCACCTCATGGAGTCATTGGCAGTCAGTGCCACAGTTTGCTCCAAAATGATGGTTAACCCATACGTTCTATGACTGCAAACTGAACCCCCAAATCCAATCACCCATCTAAAGAAACACGTGTTTTTAGTTCAAAAGTTCCAAAGCAACAGTTGGAGTGTTGGCTGCATCAGAATCGTCTGGGTGTTTGTAATAAATACAGAATCCTGAGCACAGTGACATACCTATTCACACAGAATCTCCAGGAATAGGGTCAGGTATTTCTGATGTACAGCCATGTTTTGAAACCACCATTTTACTTAACAGAGGGAAGATACTGAGCTGAGGGTTAGATATAATACATTGAGAAAATATCCTAAAGAATTATGGAGAAGCAACATATATGAATGATATATCACTATAACTTACAAAAAAAAAGGCCTCAACATCATCACAGGTATAAATTCCTAAAACAGGTCAAATTTGTGTATTCAGAACATTTTCCTGAAAAATGTTACTCGGTGATCTAGGGATAAATAAGTTTGCAAAGTGCCACACCCTATATAAGCCTGCTCTTAGAAATTCAGAAAGTGTTAAAGGCTCTGAGAAATTCTGCCGGCAACTTCTTAAATTTAATGTAGTATTTCTCAAACTCACTCAAACACAGAAGGCTCCCTCCCCCCATGGCATACCTATTAGGGTTCTATAGAATACATGTTATTCTTAGGCAGGCCATTTAGAAATACAATTCTCAATGATTACCTTGTCAAATATTAATATTTCATAGCAACATTTTTCCATATGTATTGGTATATTGTAACACTTGGGCCTCTTTTTTTGCTATATAAAATTTGTTCAATAAGAAATTATAAGCTTTGATTAAATGAATATTATTTAAATTCAAACCCTTAAATATTAACATTAATCCCAGTATAATTCTTATTTGAATCTACATTTCAAATTGAGTTAGTCCTGTAATTTTTCATTTCTAATTAAACCAATTAAAGCAGGGTATTCCTACTGACCTACTTTCTAGAATTTAAAAAATAAACTAGGAATAAAATTTATCTTCTGAGGTTTAGGATGTTTTCCAGAGCTTAATTAAAATAACTTGAAAATTTCATTTGGGTAGAATTTTTATTTATTTTATGGTGAAAATACTTCTTTTACAGCACAAAAGACTGGAAGAGGATTATTGAAGCAAATTTAATAAAAGCAGAGTATGTAAGAAGCAGTGCTGATTCACTGCTGCTTTTTCTGCTTTGAGGATGGCAAACTAGAAGAGTCTGTAAAGAGAGAGAAGATTAAGTTTTTACTTTACCCAGGACAGCATTAAAGCTGATTAAAAGGCTCCACTGAAGTAGCAAAATAACCATCTCTCTAATATGCACCAGTATAAAATTTAATCTTAAATTGGGCAGTCCTGGGGGAAAGAATTAGACTAAATTTATGCCCATTTGAATTGTAGAAATCAGCCTCACAGCCATTAGCTTCTTATCCTGTGTCCTAAGCTAAATTCTAACTCAGTCCCAAGAGGCCACACTTCCTACTCTGGGGCAACCCTATTCTGTCCAATGACCTTAGAAGAGATTATTTATGAAGGACAAACCATGTTGTAAAAACTTATTTTCCAGACAACAGAAAACCAGCTTTAACAGTGATCAAACTCCGCCCTGCCATCTTTATTAATACCCAAGATACAAACACAATATGTTAAGCTATACAATTCCCTCCCTTGAATTTTAAGCCCACATTAATATAGGTCCCTTATTTCCTGGTAAGCCCCATTGGTGACAAAGTTACTTATTTTCTTCTAAGAATCAGGAAGCCATTATCTATGGACATTCAGCACTGATTTCCATTTTTTAGAAACTGTGGAAAATAAGCTTTAAAACTGGGTCACCACTGCATAGTATGGACTTCCATTGTAATGTATGAATAATAGTAGTTCATTAGTTGTGACAAATGTTCCATAATTGTGTAAGATGTTAGGAACAGGGGAAACTGGGTGTGTGTCGGGTACACAGGAACTCTCTGTACCATCTTTGCAACTTTTCTATAAATCTAAAACTTCTAAAACAAAAATATTTATTTTAAAAAAAAGTAGGTCACCAGAAATTTTCCACCCACCTAATATAGTATCATATTTAATAGAGGCAAAGAAGATTCTCAATTCTAGGATTTCTCCCTAAAAAAAGTAAAAAGAAGTAAGTTGGCAAGATTACTATAAGGCAAACATGATTAAGCAGGCATTCTCAACAGTCAATACAGTATCTTTACTACATAACAAAAACAAGGCAAAAAATTATCCTGAAAACTGGATTGCAGAGAGCCCTATCTTCTAATCATTACACATTTATAAAGCTCACGTTATGCACACAGTACTGTAATACTTATTTGCTGAAAAGCAGAATACAAAAGCAACGGATATCCCCTCAACACCCATAAGTTCACCATCTGGTTAAGGACACACATCACTGCCAAGAAGTTTAAGGTGATAGTGTTCCCTGATTCCTAAGAGCACACATGCTCTGATGGACAACTCTCATGTCAACCTCAAGGGATGATATAACGGACAACAGCATTAAGTATGTACATGCTGTGCTACGAATATTATGGCTAAGATCACTTTGAAATACAACAGTATATTATCTTTAATGTCTTGTATCCTATCCTAAAAGTGGTATAAAAATGCCTTTGGCAAAATAAGTTATGTTTTTTTGTTCATTTATTTGTTCATTCATTCAACATATATGCATTAAACACCTACTATGTGCCAAGTGTTAAGTACTGGGTATACAGCACTGAATAAATACCCTGCTCTAATGGAGACAGACAATAAACATATAATGTATGTAGTCAGTGACATGTACTAGGAAGAAAAGTCAGTCCAGAGTAGGTGAGAGAGTTGATAGAAATAAGGTGGTGGTCTGGGTGCTACTTCATATAGGGTAATCAGGGGAAGCATCTCTGATGAGCCAATATTTGGGCAAACATCAAAATGAAGAGAGGGATGTCATTTCCTTCCTTCCATCCATCCCAGGAATGAATTTTCCAGGCAGAGTGAACAATAAATGCCAAGACTCACTTATTGTTCAGAAAATGCAAAATAATAGTACTAACAATAGCTAACATTTATTAGACACTTAGTATGTGCCAGGCACTGTTGTCAAGTACTCATGGTATATTAAAGAAAACCACAGACCTTTTGCCATGCTACCCATTGAGAGATGGGATCTTTTTCCCATCCCCTTGAATCTGGGCTAGGGAGCCAGGCATGGTGGTACACACCTATAATTTCCAGCTACTAGGGATGCTGATGTGGAAGGATTGCTTGATGCCAGGAATTCAAGAACCTGGGCAATCTAGCAAGACCTGTCTCTGAAAAGTAAAAAAGGAAAGAAAAAATTTAAAAATTTATGAATCTGGGCTGGCCCTGTGACTAACTCATGCTCAGTTAGAAGGTTTGCCTCATGGATAATCAATTTGTGCAAGTACTCCTTGTCTGCTGTCCCAAAGCACTTATCGATACACTAACACTTAGTTCAGCAGTTTGTAATTGTTACTTTTCTTGTCTATCTCTTCTACTCATATCTTCTGACAGCAAGGTAACTAGCTATAATTTATATTTTAAATCTCCAATGCCAGGAACATACTATATGCTCATTAAATGTTAGTTGTTTGGCTTACTATACACATGTCCAGTGTGTAGTAATCTTCACATGGACAACGAAGAATCCAGCAGGGTTTTGTAACCTTGACACTACAGACATTTTGGGCCAAATAGTCTTTGTAGGGGGGGCTGGCCTGTGCATTATAGGATGCTCAGCAGCATCCTTAGCCTCTATCTACTAGATGCCAGGAGCCACTCTCTTACCAGTTGTGACAACCCAAAATGTCTGTAGACATTGCCAAATGGCCCCTGGAGGCAAATTACCCATGGCTGAAAATCAACAACGCTCCACAGGTTTCCACATAGAGACATTATGGACTACTTTTTGCCACCCAGCTGTTTCTTTATCTAATAACACAATTATTATTAAATATATATTTTCCAACTAAAGGTCAGGAATTGAGTTCCAATCTCAGAAATCTTAGCTTGAACTTTAAAGTCAAAATTCTTGACGTCTTGAATGTGTATGGCCTCTGGCTTTGGAATAGCTTTAAAGTTTAACTTTGAAATTTAAATATTTATATAGTGTATTGCCAAAATTTTCACACAAGTACACTTCCATTATTACTAGGTACTTATTCCTGGAGAGTTCTATATTTTGACATTAGTACCTGGAAATACAAAAGCTGACCTGGAAACCACTGATACCTGATTTCTAATTTGTCTGTTTACTCTGTATTATGAGGATTTTTTTTAAGGGTCATTTGCTTGTAAAAGCCATTTAGGAATCACCTCACTTACTTTGAGAAGAAAACTGAACATTCTCTGCTTCAGTGACCTGTTTTGCAGTTTCTGTTTTACCTAAAAAGAGAGTAATTGCCATCTATCAACCATCTGGAGCCAAATGCTCTGTAAAGAACATCAGACTATTTGTTACTCTCTCTCTCCCCCACCTTCCAACCATTGCTCTGATGGGCAAATGAGGCACTGTGAAAAGGCTATGATCATCTTTGACACAGTGGAGCCTCAGATGTTTAGACACAATATGGATAGAATACTGATTAGGAAGAGGGACTTCACTGCCCTAGTCTGTGGATCCTAATCTCAATTCCACAATACTAGCTATATGACCTCAGGCAAGTTACCTAACCTCTGAGCCTGATTCTTCATCTGTAAAATCTGTAATATTGGCCTTCTAAGATTTTTGGAAAGATTAAATGAGGTAATGGCTATAAAGTATTAGATACCAGATTATTTGGGTAGGAGAGGTTGTTCATTAATATAACAGTCATGAGTTGCTAGCTCATGAGAAAGACTATCTACAGCTGATCAACAATAATACGTATCACATAGAGATCCAGACCTTACATATAGAGATCCAGACCTTAGAGCCAGATGTAGCAACTGGGCTAAACTTTGGGAGGTCTACACTTTGGGGTGGGCCAGTTAAGTATATTGTTGGTTGTAAACGGGACAGTAGCATTATATTAGGTAGTTACCCCTTTGAAATGTTATGTATGGAAAGAGTATGTATGGGTGCATGGGTTCAAATATGTACTGGCTGACCAAAAGATAGAAGGTAGAGGATCTCTGTTTTAATGTGCTTGGCACCATCTTCTCCCATCCCAGATGTTTCCAGTAGGACTACTAATCACAGTGTGTTCTCTGTCCTGGAGGGCAGACAGGTGATATAGGGTAGGGTTGAGACCAAGGGCTGGCCAAACAGACTGCCCCATTCTCCAGTCACAGTACTTGGTCTAAAGGATGAACATAAAACCTAAGGAAAACTAGAATTCCTCCATGAAATTTGTTATAGAAATGCTGGTATAGAGAGGGCTGCTCCTCTCTTTGGATTGCTATTTGTGAAAATGACATAAGCCTGGAGCTGCTGGCAATCATCTTTGATACCACATGGTAAGAACTTTCCCGAGAAGGACACCACCACAGAGGAAAGAGAAGCTCAGAAAGAATCCTGATTACATCATTTGAACTGCTGTGTCTAGCTGCATCTGAAGCCAGAAACCATCCATAGGAATTCCTGTGTAGTGAGCCACTAAATTATCTTTTCTATTAAGCTAATTCTGCCACTTGTAACTGAATAATTCCTAAGACAGCCCATCTAAACAAGAAGCTAACTGACTGCTTGATGCATTCATTCATTAATTCACTGAATGTTTACCACTGGCTATGCCAGCATCAATGTTTACTTTACTTGAAAACAAATTGCTCTAAGTTTTAAAGTTTCTCTCCATTTACAAACACAGGAGAATATTCACTATGATGAATATTCATCATAAACAGAAAAGACCTCTAGGAAGGTGAGGGGGAAAAAAACTGAACTGAAAAATTTAGGTGGTTGGGTTGCTATTCAGACACTACCACTCTTTAAGAGCAGTACACACAGCAAGTGATTTATGGGAATAAAGCATAAATTCATTTAAGGCAAACAATGCATATTGGACAATTAATTCATTACAATAATTTTCAGCAACAAAGGACTATCTCGTCTTGAATATTAATGTGTGGGTGAACAGTCCTGTCTTATTAAAGACTACAATATGTTTTTCCAGAATGATGCTGAATGTGCTTTTATTGTACTGTGTCCATTTGTAATAGAGTAGTGAAAAAAATACTTTTTTTGCAAACAAAATAACTGGAAAGCATGGTTGATAAATAATTTGAAAATTGATCAGTTAACTGTATAATCATAGTGATTTTAGCAAAAATAACTTTAATTTCAGGCATATTTTATAAATCTGTTAAGAGGAAAAACCATTAAGTTAATGACCAAATACAATCTAATAAAAACTGTGTCTGAGTCTAAAATGATTACACTATACAAATATAAGTGGTTGTGTATTGTCACTCAAGATGCAGGCTAGTTATTGAAATCAATGGAAAGGTTAAATTTGGGAATACTGTATAGCAACAGGCAGTATAATATAACATACATACCAACAAACATAGCTGGCTTCGTATCATGGAAAGCATTGATATTTGGCAATAGGTAGTGGTCATATAATTTATTCTGTCTATTCTGTTGTTTGCCACATCTTGTGATCTAAAAGGAATGGGGTTCTTCTCCTCTTGGCAGCTAACAGATTATTTCACTTCTGTATTTAACCAATGAGATTTTTTACACCTTGAGATAAGCAATGAAAAAGAACCTTCCAATTACAGTGGGCTTGACCGGCGCCAAGTAATGCTCATCACACACTAATGAAAAAAATTATGTGGCTAGTCTCTGGCTGTAGGAAAGGGAGAATATATGAAAGACAGGCAAAGAGCTTCAGATTGCAATAATGAGAACAATTAGCGAATCAATGTACTCATAAGCTGTGGTTAACATTGTAAATCACTGCAAACAACTTGGCTTTGTCTGTAGGAGGAGCCATAAAGAAGTCCATAACTTTTGACCCAATAATCCCACTTCTAGGGAGTATATAAGAAAATAATTTAAACAAAGCATACTATACCTCTAAACAAAAGTACTCACTGAAGTGTTATCCATCAAAGTAAAAAAATTTTTTTAAAAATCTAAGTAGACTAACAACAGATTAGTAAATTACAGTATATCAAAAATTATATAAAAACATTTATTGAGTATATTCTCCCCAAATCACAAATACTCACTATAGCCAAAAATTATCTTGTTTTGCTGTATGTTCTTAGAATAGAACTATCAGGAATAAAGAAAGCTTCTAAACCAAAAAGGAAAAAAAATAAAAGAAAGAAAAAAATCATGAGTATTCTGTTAGTTAATGAACAATAATAAACTGACTGGTATTTGAATACTGCAGCACTTGTTAAACACTTGTCTTTTAACACCATTTCTAAATTCTGGCCCTTAGAAAGTTTATAATCTCTTTGAAGAAACAAAATTAATAGAAACAACAGGGAGAGATGTAATCGTATTTTAAATTAAATGCTAAATGGTGTGGTTAAATAAAGGCAGTGGGATTTGAGAAAAGGCTGAGAACTGGAGAGAGTATAGAATTCAGGAACAATTTCATGAAGGGAGGAAATGGCTTGTACATTGCAGGGAGAAGGCGGCAGAATGGCAAGGGTGGGGAGGAATACAGAAACAGGCCCTGATGGAGAGGCAGGCCTGGGCCCTGCATGACTGCCCTGTGCAAAGTCAGGGATGCGATGAGAAATCAGGTTGCAGAGTGTCCCCCTGCAACTTAAGGCATTTTCGTCAATAACTTGACAGGCTTCTCACAAAACTCACTGGAATTGGATACTGTGGGCTGCTTTCAAAGTTCTGTTCTACATTAACTGATCACCTTCTTTAGCTTTGGCAACAGCTTGGCACCCTGTTCTATTCCCACTCCGACTCTTTCAACATTCCTACTCTTCGTTGGCATTGTTTTCTGCTACCACCATACTCACTCCATTTATTTGATTACAGAGGCAAATCAAAGGGTGATGAAAACAGCGGTACTCAGGGAAATAAAATCATCACTTGTCTTATACTAGCAGTTAAAAACATTCTTCACACTTGTAATCCCAGCACTTTGGGAGGTCGAGGCTGGAGGATCACTCAAGCCCAGGAGTTCCATAGCAGCCTGGGAAACAGAGTGAGACCCTGTCTCTACAAAAAATTTAAAATGGCATGTGCCTGTAGTCCCAGCTATTAGGGAGGCTGAGGTGAGAGGATCTCTTGAGCTCAAGAGTTTGAGGTTACAGTGAGCTATGACTGTGCCACTGCCAGCCTGGGCAACAGAGAGAGACTATTTCAAAAAACAAAACAAACAAACAAACAAAAACAAACAAACAACTCCTCCACATCATCTCCCAGGCCTTTAGCCACGTGCCAGACTCGGGACAGGCCGTTCTTGGAATTTAAGTTCTACTTTATTTTATTATATTTAAAATAAAATTTAAAAAAAAAAACTCCTTCAAAGGACGATTCTGGTATACCCTCTCTAAATTGAACAGTAATTAGCATAATTCTGTTAATCAATTATTACAATGGCATTCATACCAGAGCTCATGAAATAATAGGGATCTTTAAATATCTCAAAAAGCCTGATAGAAATGGCATATTTACCCCTGCTAATATCTCAAGGGAAATTAAAAGATCATTAACTTAAGTAACATTAATACCATTTTTAAGTGCTTATTTTGACAGCACACTTAGTTTTACATGCCAGAGTGAAAAAATGAAAACAAATGTCTTCATTTGTTTTGATAGGCAATCTTTCCAAACATAAGGACTGAGTAAGGTGGGGGATAGGAATGATAATAAAAGTGATCTTCAATGATTGAAAGTCTAGGAAAATTATATATATACATTATATATATATAATGTATATATATATACATTTCTAAAAGAAATCTTAGGAAGAAAAAAATTCTGTCTAGTCTATCTCTTTAATGGCTTTCTCCTCTACTGTACAGCTTGGCTGTGTTCTCACCTGGACTTTCAAATGTTCTTGGTCCTGTCTCATTCCTTAAATCCCCCACAACAGTTCCAGGGTAACCTCTTACATTGCATATCTGACTGTGCCTATCATACCCTTGCTCACATTCTTTAATGGTTCAGCACTTCCACGGGATAACACCTAAACGCTAAGGCATAGCAATCTTTTGCCATTGGGCTCCATCAATCCTCAGGGTGACCGTTTTCCAACTCATGCTCTGAATTACTGCAGTTCTTTTCCTTGTGGGTCCCTGAACAAATCTTGCTCTCATACTTCTATGCTTTTGACCATGCTGTTCTGCCTGGAATATGCTCCCTTGCATATTATCCCACCCACCTACATACTTCCAGAACAAAATAAAACATCTTCACTCTCCCTGGAAAGCTCCTGGCACTGGTGTGTGAAGCATGCCTCCACCCTCCCAGGCAGCTAAGAGGTGTTTCTTCTGCTCTCCTCCAAGGATCAGAATCTGTTCAAGGGCAGGTTCTGTCGGCATCTGGTCTCTAATGCCTGAGGTAGTACTGGCTCTGTAACAGACACCAAGCAGGACTTGCTGAATAAGTCATTGAAGCTTATTCAACAGAAATGTGAATAAATTCCCTAGTAATTAAAATTAAAGTTATGTTTCTTTAAGAGGCACTTTTCCCCCTTCCAATGGGAGTCACTGTTGGTCACTGAATATTCAGCTTCTTGAGTATTTTCTGCACGTTAGTTACAGAGGAAATGGTGCACATTTTTGTCTCCAAATTTAGTGGACAAGTAGTGTGAGAACATAATTCTCCAACACTGTCAACAAAATAGTTTTTGGAAAAGTCTCTGTGTGTGTCAAGTTAAGCCAATTTATATGAAAGAAGACATACTGGTTAGGATGCACTAAATTTCAAGTACCAAAAATATCCTACTCAAACCAGCACTCTAGAGCCCAGTTGCCAGGTCTCCTACCCAGCCATTAATATTTACTAGCTGCATGACTGCAGACAATTAGCTGTATAAACTTGGGCAACTTCCTTCACTTCCCTATCTCAGCTTCCATATCTGTAAAATGGAAATAACAGTACACACTTTATAGGGTATTATAAGGCATATGGTAAGCACTATATAAGTGTTAACTGTTAGTAGTTAAACATAACTAAAATAACTTGAACCCTGAAAGTAAGAAGGGTGGGCTCATGGGTGGTTTGATGTGGTAGCTCACAGTGTCATCCAGGATCTAGTTTCTTCCTGGCACCTTGAAATCAGCTCCAGCTCTAGGCTAGCATCTTTCAGAGTGGCCAAATCAACCAGAATGTAGAAAAAACAAGGATACTGAATCTCTCCATGACTGGATGTCTTAGGTCACAAGCCCCTCCCCCCCCATCACTGAGCAAGGAATAGTCAGATTATTAAATCACCCAGGTCCCACTTCTAGACCTGCAGGTGGGATCAACTTCCCCTGAAACCTGGGTGCCTTTAGGGAGCTGGGAGATGAGAGGAGATGCTAGATAGGCAACTAACAAGAATAACAAAGGCAATGGTGAAATTCATGAATTTTAAACCAGAGAAACTCTTTTCACAGCCATCTGTATTCAAAAGTCATATCAGGTTTAGCAACCAGGCACAAAAATTCCTTTCAACCAAGATGAATTTCTAGCATGACATTGCCAACAAAAAGTGCTGTTCTCAGGGAAAATCCTTCAACTTAGAAGCATCTGCTTCTAATTTCCACAATGAAATCTTTGATTCCCTCATTCATGGGACTTGCACTCAATTCCCTCTGACACAGGAACTGCTGTTTTCTAGATAACAACTTTGCTGTGAAATTTTCATTATCTGGTAGCAATATATGAATCTTAACATTAACTTTACTTATTTTTCTCCTGAAATACTTTCCAAAGAGAGCAGAATGCCTCTAACAAAGATTGAACTAAACATTTGGGAAGTAGCTAGCTTTCTTATAACATGGCAAAAGCATTTTCCATGTCAATAAATGGCTCATAACAACAACAATGAAATTTATAAGCTGGAAATGCAAAAGTCCAATAACAAAATAAATAAAACATGGTGCATTAAAACAATTCAGCAGGGAAAATTAGTGAACTATAGCTACATACTACTAAGTATGAACCTCAAAAACAATGTTAAGCAAAAAAAGTAACAGAAGGCCGGGCGCGGTGGCTCACGCCTGTAATCCTAGCACTCTGGGAGGCCGAGGCGGGCGGATTGCTCAAGGTCAGGAGTTCAAAACCAGCCTGAGCGAGACCCCGTCTCTACCATAAAAATAGAAAGAAATTAATTGGCCAACTAATATATATATATATAAATCAGCCGGGCATGGTGGCTTGTGCCTGTAGTCCCAGCTACTCGGGAGGCTGAGGCAGGAGGATCGCTTGAGCCCAGGAGTTTGAGGTTGCTGTGAGCTAGGCTGACGCCATGGCACTCACTCTAGCCTAGGCAAGAAAGCGAGACTCTGTCTCAAAAAAAAAAAAGTAACAGAAGAATACATACGGGCCCAGTGCTCAAGCCTGTAATTCTAGCATTTTCTGACATAGGAACTGCTGTTTTCTAGATAACAACTTCGCTGTGAAATTTTCATAATCTGGTAGCAATAAATCTGGGAGGCCGAGGCTGGAGGATCGCTCAAGGTCAAGAGCTCGAAACCAGCCTAAGCACGAGCAAGACCCCGTTTCTACTATAAATAGAAAGAAATTAGCCAAACAACTGAAAACAGAAAAAATTAGCTGGGCACGGTGGTACAGCCCGTAGTCCCAGCTACTCGGGTGGCTGAGGCAGGAGGATTGCTTGAGCCCAGGAGTTTGAGGTTGCTGTGAGCTAGGCTGAAGCCACACCACTCTAGCCTGGACAATACAGTGAGACTCTAAAAAAAAAAAAAAGAAGAAGAAGAATACATATGGTATGATTCTATCAATAGATAGTTCAAAATCAGGCAAAACAATGATTCATTTAGGGATACATATATGTGTGGTAAGACTATAAAGAAAGGCAAAGGAATGATTAAGCTCAAAATGATAATAGTGGTACAGGGGGTGGGGGAAGTAGGTTGGAGGTAGGAGATATACTCAGAAAGGAACAGGGAGCTTGGAAAGTTCCAGAGAAACATTTTTCCTTAAGCTTGGTAGTGGATAAAATGTTGCTCTTTCATCACTATTATTTGTTTTTTGTTTTGTTTTGTTTTGAGACAGAGTCTTGCTCTGTTGCCCGGGCTAGAGTGCCGTGGCGTCAGCCTAGCTCACAGCAACCTCAAACTCCTGGGCTCAAGCGATCCTTCTGCCTCAGCCTCCCGAGTAACTGGGACTACAGGTATGTGCCACCATGACCAGCTAATTTTTTCCATATGTTTTTAGTTGTCCAGCTAATTTCTTTCTATTTTTTTTAGTAGAAACGGGGTCTTACTCTTGCTCAGGCTAGTCTTGAACAGGATGATCCTGACCTTGAGTGATCCTCCTGCCTCGGTCTCCCAGAGTACTAAGATTACAAGAGTCAGCCACCACGCCCAGCCTTCATCGCTATTATTGTTTAAAATGTTCATAGACATTATAAACATCTATGTGTGCATTTCATAATTTTAAAAAGTAAAATAAATTATAAATGTTAATGCTGAAAATGCTATGAATAAACACATTCTGGTGGTTAAATTTTAAAAAAATACATAAGGTATAACATATTCTGCTATAACTGCCTGCTACATTTCACATAAGATGAATCCATTGAGGACCCTATGCAGAGTTTATGTACCACACACTAAAATAATCTTTATAAACTATTATTTCACTTACTATGTGATTGTTTTCATGGACCTAAAACTAAAAAGAACATTAGAGCTTCTAAGATTAATGAATTCTTATAGCAGTTTTTATAATCTAGTGACATATGTATTAATTTATTTCTGAGTTCCTATCTATGACTAAATGGGGGGAAAATGTATTAAAGTACAATCAAGTGAAAACATTATCACTGTACCAGATTTTAGAGATGATCTAGTCCAACCCCTTAATTTTATAGGTGAAGAAACTCACACACTGAGAGAATGTCCTGGCCAAAATGATTGAGTCGGTTTTAGGACTCAAGCATGCTTTTCCTTATAGGACTTTTCTTCTCTAAGTTCTATCAAAAACTCCCATGGGTAAGAAACAGTTTAGC